CAACAACCAAACCCACATACCCCACCTCCCCCCCCCTCCCAGAAATCTCAAACTCCTAGAGTATAACTCTTTGATAGTTACAATCACCATTCATATCGTCACACAAACAGAACCATCAACCACCCCCAAAATCTTTGATAGTTAATCCCATTAAAATCGTCATTTTTGATAGTTAAATCCCATTAAATCGTCATTTTTGATAGTTAAATCCCATTAAAATCGTCATCTTTGATAGTTAAATCCCATTCATATCGTCATTTTTGATAGTTAATCCCATCAAAATCGTCATCTTGGATAGTTAAATCCCATTAAAATCGTCATCTTTGATAGTTAAATCCCATTAAATCGTCATTTTTGATAGTTAAATCCCATTAAAATCGTCATCTTTGATAGTTAAATCCCATTCATATCGTCATCTTTGATAGTTATATCCCATTAAAATCGTCATCTTTGATAGTTAAATCCCATTAAAATCGTCATCTTTGATAGTTAAATCCCATTAAATCGTCATTTTTGATAGTTTATCCCATTAAAATCGTCATCTTTGATAGTTAAATCCCATTAAAATCGTCATCTTTGATAGTTAAATCCCATTAAATCGTCATTTTTGATAGTTAATCCCATTAAAATCGTCATTTTTGATAGTTATATCCCATTAAATCGTCATTTTTGATAGTTACATCCCATTAAATCGTAATTTTTGATAGTTATATCCCATTAAATCGTAATTTTTGATAGTTATATCCAATTAAATCGTCAATTTGAGCCAAATTTCTTCTGTCGTCTGGCGTCACAAAATCCGTTGTCCTTTGGTCGGAGGTTTGCCCGGGTGGTCCGGAGCAACCCTGGACGCCAGCTGCCCAGATATGACAAATTATATTTTATATAGCAAATATACTTTATTTATTTATAATATATCCTATACTATTTATGGAATATTATATATTGTACATTATTGATTATATATTATATATATAATTTTGTATATTTTTATATTGTATATAGAATATTTTATATATTGTATTTAATACATTCTTTACTATTGATGAACTATTAAATATTGTACATTATTGATTATATATTATATATTAAATTATATATATTATTTATTATATAAAAAATATATTTTATTTAATACATTCTATACTATTTATAAAATATTTTATATTGTACATTATTGATTTTATATTATATATTAAATTTTATTTTTTATATATTATATATTAAATATACTATATTTTATATATAATATATTCTATTCTATTTATGACCTGTTATATATTGTACATTATTGATTATATATTTTATATCAAAATTTGGATATATATTATATATATAATGTTTTTATATATTGTATTTAATACATTCTGTACTATTGATGTTTCTTTTTGTACATTGTTGATTATATATTATATATTAAATTTATTGTATTATTTACTATTAAAAAATATAATTTATATTGTATATTATATATTCCTTACTATTTTTGAAATATTTTATATTGTACATTATTGATCGTATATAATATAATAAATTTTATTTATTATATATTATATATAAAATATTTTATATATTGTATATAATATTTTCTTTACTATATTTGAACATTGTTGGTTATATATTGTATTTTAAATTATATATATATATTATATTATATATATATATATTTTTTTAATAGTATATATACAATCCATTATATATATATATTTTTGAAAATATATTATATATTATATTTTGTATATTCTATACTATTTTTGAATATTATATATTGTACATTATGGATTTTATATTGTATGTTTATATTTATTTATTATATATATAAACTATGTTATTTATTATATTATATATTCTCTACCATAAATTGATTATTATGTATTGTACATTATTGATTATATATTATGTATTAAATTTTATATTTTATATATTATTGATTATTGACTTTTGGTTATACATTATATATTCACTAGTTTATTTATTTATATGACATATTAAATATCATATATTATTTATTTTATATTATTTTTGATATATTATATATATATATATATGATATTATCGATTATATATACTATATTATATATTTTTTAGATATACTTTTATATTATATATTGTATATAGATAAATTATATATATATATTATATATTATAAATAATAAATTATTTATTAATATATATATATATACATTCATTTGTATATATATATATATACACATGTGCTTGGGTGGCTTGGGGTGCCCAATCCTGCGCATGATGCAGCAATATCTCCAAACACTAGAGATCGAAATCGAAGCTGCTTGGTGGTTTCGACCATTTCCAAATTTTACCTGAAAATCGACGTTTAAAACTAGCAACAAAGGGGAAGAGAGCCAGATGTTCTATATATAGTAGTTGGTGATGAACAACATAGGTTTCTTCGGTTTCATCGGATGATCTGCAGTCTGCAACTGACTTTCAAATTTTCCGTCTTTTCAAGGACTGAAACCACCAGCCAGGAAGAGCTGTGTTCAATTTTTTTGTTTTTTTGCCAGAACATGTCGCCGAAATTCGGCCGACGATTCATTGGCATATTTGCCTTGTAAGTGTCGTGTTTGCCCTGTGCGCGGGCGTGTTTTCGTCTTTCAGGGCCATGTGGCAACCATTTGTCTCACGCTCACAAGAAAGCCCTGCAACGCCGAACGTGGATGGGTCAAGAACCTCTGAGATGTGTATGGGTCAATACCTATAGATACATTTTTAGTGGGATGAACATCCATTTACCAGCTATTTTGGGGTTCACTAGGTACCAGGGTTTTGACCCATCCCCAGATGGGTCAAAACTACAAGCTGTCTTGATGTCAAAAGCCAGGGAACCCAAGTGAACTCTGTGTTTTGATCCAGAATGGGCGCCACCCGATGTTCTCAAGCCACTCTGGGACACAGTTCAGAAAATTTTCGTATACAGTATGTATATAGTTTTATAATGTTTTATATATTACAAATATGTGCATCCTATATATATATAAAGATATTGTACTATATTTTATCAGGTGTACATGTATATATATATATGCAGAGATTAAACAATATATACGATAGTATGTATATGCCATATTTTAATGTATATATCATACAAGGTAAAAAACATAATTTTGTACATTTACATATATATATATGTCAGAATAGACATCAAAGTATATATATATATAAATCATGTAGTTATATGTATATATATATATATGCACCAATCATACAAGTATCTATGCCGTATCTATATATATATACATATACGCATATCATTTAATGCAATGTAACTCTGTCATTATACAGTTGGCATGTTTTACGCACATTGAATCACATTACATTACATTACATTACATTACATACGGACAGAGATACACACAGTTTTTTGAACAATATCAAAACATCAAAACACATATTTCACTATAATCACATATGTATATCTATAACATTTGTATATACATGTACATATCAATATTTACATTTGCACATGTACATACATAAATAAATAAGTAAATAAATAAATAAATACATATATATATATATACACATGTACATATACATGTGTATATTTGTAGATATATATATATATACACATTTGTATATATACACAGATACACACACATATATACACATATGCACATATATATATATATGTATATATATACATACACATGCATAAGTACATATACACATATACATGCATATTTATACACATACAGACCATATTTATACACATACAGACATATACATATTGACATGAATATATTGACATATATCTTTATATTCACATTTTTTTAAAATCGTTTTATCTATTTGTATTTTTTGCATATATATATATACACATGCACACACACGCACACACACATATATATATATACATATACATACATCTAGATACACACATATAAATACATCTTTCTATACATATACATATACATTGATACATTGATACAATTATACATTTTTACATACACAAAAATGTGTGTTCATATCTCATATGTATGGTTTGTTCTTCCCTACTTGGGATGATTTTTTTTGTGTCCCACAGGCAGCGCTTGCCAGGCACCAATGGGTTCGCATTGAACGCGTGCGTCAAAACATGGGCGGAATTGGGTCAACTTGCAAAAAACTATGGAAAATCACCATTTTTAATGGGAACATCAACTATTTCTATGGCCATTTTTAATAGCAAAGTGCTTGTTTACCAGAGGGTATCAATCCCATGGGTGCGAAGAATCCTCAGAATCATCCCTTTGAGGTCATACACAGTTCAAGCACAAACCATTTCGCCATCACATACTTGGGGATATAACCGTCAAGTAACTATTTATCAATGGGGATCCATGATGAGAATTCCTTTCACTTTTATAATAGGGCGATATTATCACATTAATGAGGATGTCAAACATGTACATTATCATGAGGATTCGTTTTCACATTTCATTTCAAACATATTCAGATATGGGTGAATGATGATTATTTCAGAATTGCGTCAAGACAAATATTACAATATATATATACATGTTTTTTATCACTGACAGAATCGTGAAACATTTGCATCCTGAAAATACTTATCTAGTCGTATTTTAAACTCAGTTGAACATTTGACTTGACAAACAAGTTAAAATATATTGCCTGTCTATCCTTGAAAAGCAACGAAAGTAACCGCAAAAAAATATCAAACACAAATCTGTCATAATATATCACTCAATTCTAGAATCGCTGCTATCTCTTCATTTTTTTAACAACGTGTTTTTTCTTTTCCAATAACTAGGGTTTTGTGGTAATTATTATTGCAGGTGGGGTTATAAACCAACTTATAACTTATAAATATAGTTCATTAGGTTAACTTATAGACGAATTTATAGACTATTTATTTATAGATGATGTTCCAATTATATCAAACCTGCATTTGTAATGATTTCCCATTGCAATGTTTGATTACCGGAGGGTACAACTAACTTGTTGCTATAAAAATCTTAGGATGAAAAACTGCCGAGGACATTGCCTTGGCGTTTCCCAACCAGCCCCGGGCTGCCGTCGGAGAAGTGGTTACCAAGGTGGGCTTTCGGCCATGGGAAATTCTGACAGATTTTTCCATCAACCAGTGGGGGGCCAGTGGAACTACCAACTGGGCGATGATGAGGGACTGTCCCCGTGAATTGGGGTTGCCACATTGTCGCCCAGTGAATGAGAAGTTGACATGGTGTACTAATGTGTACTATGTATGGATATGTATGGTGTGCCCGAAGAATCATGGTCAATTTGAGAAAACGTGTGAATTCCGGCTTCCAAAAAGGTGATTGAAATGCTACATCTGATGCTGAGATATGGTGAAACAATGGTTGGATAGCCATGGGATGGTCTAAAAATCGAGTACCCCAAAATCCCCATGGTTCGCATTTTCCCCTTTTTTGACTCAAATAGCAATTTTTTGGGGTATCCTGGTGTTCCATGATATTCCCTTTTTTATTCAAACAGATCCATGTAGGTGTTTCTTAAATTGGGGGGCTCCCAAAATCATGGGCTTCAAACTCTTTCAAGATGTTTTAATCATCGAATTTGTGATGTTTTGGCGGCGTACCACCATTTTGGAAACAATGTGAAACCACCATTTTCCTTCAGTAAAACATAATTCTTGACGGTCAAGCTACAAGCTACCATGTGTGATGGGTAAAGCAGCATTTTTCCATATTTGTCATGCTTCAGTCACCATTTTTTGATCTCTATTTTCAGTGGTACCCTCTGGTAAACTAACAGTTTGCTATTGAAACCATGGCCATAGAAATAGTTGATTCGCCCATCAAAAATGGTGATTTTGAATAGCTTTTTGTATGTTTACCAGAGGGTCACCATTTTGAAATCAATAGTCAATAGCCATTGTTTAACAATTTTTAATATTCAAAGTATTCACTATTCCAATCCATATTAACCATCAAAAACACATACTTAATAGGTAAATCAACTATTTTTGATGGTAAATTTCCATCTTTGCGGGTCCCCAGTTCGGGCCCCCGTCATCTTCCAACGGTTCCAGGCCGTCGAGAGATCAGCACCCACCGCGCAGTGCACCGCCGTAGAGGTCAGCCGGCTGACTCGTTACCTGGGGAATGGGAGATGAAATTTGGTATCAATACATTTATATAATAGGATTTCATAGGATTTTAATGGGATTTCATTGGATTTAAAAGAATTTAATAGGATTTAATTGGATTTAATGGGATTTCATAGGATTTTAATGGGATTTCATTGGATTTAAAAGAATTTAATAGGATTTAATTGGATTTAATGGGATTTCATAGGATTTTAATGGGATTTCATTGGATTAAAAAGAATTTAATAGGATTTAATTGGATTTAATGGGATTTCATAGGATTTTAATGGGATTTCATTGCATTTAAAAGAATTTAATAGGATTTAATTGGATTTAATGGGATTTCATAGGATTTAATAGAATTTAATAGGATTTAATAGGATTTAATGGGATTTCATAGGATTTAATGGGATTTCATTGGATTTAAAAGAATTTAATAGGATTTAATTGGATTTAATGGGATTTCATAGGATTTAATGGGATTTCATAGGATTTAATAGGATTTAATGGGATTTCATAGGATTTAATAGAATTTAATAGGATTTAATTGGATTTAATGGAATTTCATAGGATTTAATAGGATTTAATGGGATTTCATAGGATTTAATAGAATTTAATAGAGTTTAATAGGATTTAATTGGATTTCATAGGATTTAATAGAATTTAATAGGATTTAATAGGATTTAATGGGATTTCATAGGATTTAATGGGATTTCATTGGATTTAAAAGAATTTAATAGGATTTAATATTGGATTTAATGGGATTTCATAGGATTTAATGGGATTTCATTGGATTTAAAAGAATTTAATAGGATTTAATTGGATTTAATGGGATTTCATAGGATTTAATGGGATTTCATAGGATTTAATAGGATTTCATAGGATTTAATAGAATTTAACAGGATTTAATTGGATTTCATAGGATTTGATAGAAGTAATAGGATTTAATGGGATTTCATAGGATTTAATAGGATTTAATGGGATTTCATAGGATTTAATTGGATTTAATGGGATTTCATAGGATTTTAATGGGATTTCATTGCATTTAAAAGAATTTAATAGGATTTAATTGGATTTAATGGGATTTCATAGGATTTAATAGAATTTAATAGGATTTAATAGGATTTAATGGGATTTCATAGGATTTAATGGGATTTCATTGGATTTAAAAGAATTTAATAGGATTTAATTGGATTTAATGGGATTTCATAGGATTTAATGGGATTTCATAGGATTTAATAGGATTTAATGGGATTTCATAGGATTTAATTGAATTTAATAGGATTTAATAGGATTTAATGGGATTTCATAGGATTTAATGGGATTCAATGGGATTTAATGGGATTTAAGAGGATTCAATGGGATTTAATGGGATTTAATAGGAATTTAATAGGGATTTAACGGGATTTGATAGGAATTTAATAGGGATTTAACGGGATTTGATAGGGATTTAATGGGTCATGGGAATTAATGGGATTCAATGGGATTTAATAGGATTCAATGGGATTTAATTGGATTTCGTAGGATTTAATGGGATTTAAAAGGATTTCATTGGATTTCATAGGAAATTTATTGGGATTTAATAGGATTTAATGGGTCATGTGAATTAATGGGATTCAATAGGATTTAATGGGATTTAATAGGAGTCAATGGGATTAAATGGGATTTAATAGGAGTCAACGGGATTTAATGGGATTTAATAGGATTCAATGGGATTTAATGGGATTTAAGAGGATTCAATGGGATTTAATAGGATTTAATAGGGATTTAAATAGGGATTTAACGGGATCTGATAGGGATTTAATGGGTCATGGGCATTAATGGGATTCAATGGGATTTAATAGGACCTAATACGTATAAATCGATGATGGGATTTAATTGGATTTAACCATCAAGTGATTTCATGGCTGGGATTTAATGGAATTCAACCAGCCATATGGCCCATAGGGTATCCCCTCTGGTACTCAAGGGCGGCCGGCTTGGAATTTGAACGACAATGGGATCTTTCGGCCGGGAAAATCATCCTATAATCTTGAGCAGATTCCGAACATGTACCCTCTGGTAAACTTACAAAAAACGATGGAACATCACCATGTTATAGCTGGGCAAATCAACTATTTCTATGGCCATTTTCAATAGTTATGTTAAATTACCAGAGGGTATTGTAATTGAAGCAATTTGAACATTGATACTGGCCGCGAAGTGGACTTTGTTCCCTGCAATTGTGGGTGTATTGGGATGAGATGATTAGAAAATTGAAGCGATATGGCTATTATATAACTATGGGTTATGATGATGAAAAGTAATGATGACCAATGATAAAACAATGATAAGTAATGACAAGTAAACATTAGTAATGACAAGTAATGATAAGTAATACCCTCTGGTAAACTAACATAACTATGGAAAATCACCATTTTTCATGGGAAAACTCACTATAAATGGCCATTTTCAATAGCTATGTACCAAATTACCAGAGGGTAACATGTATATAACGACAAGCTGCGTAAATCATTGGATCATCCAAAAGCCCTGCTGCCCTGGTGAACACCGAGATCTCTGATGTCTCAACTATGTCAACTATGGGGATAGAACCGAAAAAAATCTTGCCATCTCACTTCAGAAAGAAACACAGTTATTTTATGGCAATTCGCAAGGGACAATCTCCAAATTACTTTATTTCAGTTACTGTTACAGAGTTTTAAAAATCCATGTTTTGCCCCATCGCCTGCAACGAGCAGTTGAGCAATGAAAAAACCAGTTAAGGGATCGCCCCAGTTGTGTTCGAGCCACTGACATCGATGATTTCTCCTGGAAACGGAAACGCTTTAGATATGTTATCAAATCTTGGGGTGTACAATATGTTGGTTATTAACAGTTTGCTATGCAAGCCATGGCCCATATATAGTTTATTAGTTTGATGATTTATGATCTAGCTATTGTTGTTTTTTTAAGTTTCAATGGTGCTTTTCCAGAAACCGCTTAAAGCGTTCAGCGAAAAAACGCAGGTGTGGCTTTTAGCCGGCGGGGTTTTGGGCATGGCTGAAGAAGTGGGTAGGGAGACCTGGTGGTGGATGGTGCTACCCTGTGCCAAGGCCAAGATGTATGCGATTGATGTGCGATTGATCGTTTTTATTTTTTAGATCGGTGAATGGTTATTATTCAGCCAGATGTATGGAATTAGATATAGAATGTTACGTATATATATATATATGTATATATATATACATACGTATATATAAATACATTCATTGTTGTTCAACATTCACCCCAGATGTAGCCATGATACATGTATATTAATATGAACAAGACATAGAGCAAGTGTGGCAAGGGTATCCCATTCAAATTGGATTTGCAATTTTTCCAGATTGCTTGTGAAGTCCCAGGTATTTTTTTTTAAATATCACATTCACACTCGATATCGCCAATATCTATATATGGGTGTGTCTGAAAATGGAATATACCCCCAAATGGCTGTTCTACTAACAGGATCATCATCCAATGATTAGCGGAAAGACTACATTCAGAGAAACCAATGTGTAAATCTGGACGTTTTTTTTTTCATGACCTCACCGTGACGTCACTGAAAAAAAAAATCCCACGGCCTTTAGTTTCAACATCTTTCACTAGTTTCAGGTTTGTGAATTATGATGAATTATGATGAATTATGATGAATTATGATGAATTATGATGAATTATGATGAATTATGATGTTTCGGCCAGATTTTCTCATACTTTCACTATCTTTCACTTCTTTGTATCGGCCATGAAGGTGCGGTTCCAGTTCTTTCATGCCAGTAAAACCTGCTGGTCATAGGGGTTACTCATGGAGATTCTGAAACACCATGGTCCGATAGAGTAACTACGGCTCGGCTTACCTTGGTGATCGTAAGTCCCAGTGTTGCGATGTGTAAATTCAGAATCTAAACAATTCTAAACAGATAGAATGATAGAAGCCTTTTCATGCATTTTTCATTGAATTGCCTCATGTTTTTTTCTATTTACGGTTTCTGACGGATGGTTTTTCCATCCGATGGTTACGTGGGATGATCTTGAGGTGCCGAGACCAAAGATGAGGTCAGCAGGGGGTGGAATTTTGACGGCAGAGATGTGGTTTTTGCCTGTCGTTGCTATCGTTGATGGTTGCTATCTACCCACATCGGGGGTTTTCTAAGTCATGGGGGTACCCCCAAATCATCAAGTCAGACAATTTTATTATTGAACCCCATAGTGACTTGGGAGATCCACCATGACTTTTCAGAAACCCCATTAAAAAACGACTGTGTTCATCAGGGTCTCAAGCCTACAGGGGCCTGCCGTCGCAGGGCCCTGCAAAGAAAAAACAAAAGACCACGTGCCGCTCTTGGCGCTGCGGGACCAGAACTGCAACCCCCCGAAGATTGCTTTGGGAACATATAGGTTTTCCGCCTATGGTATACAAATGTATACGATAATAAACTCAAGTTCCTTTTCAGCGGTTTCCGAGAAGAGACTAAATGGTATGATGAGGTATGGGGGTGTTTTTGGATTTGCTGAATGATTGGAGATTCATTGTTTGGGGTTCCGCAGCGGGTTCTTTTGAGTGGGCAAATCTGTGATGTGAAAGGGGAAGTCTATTGAGAGATATGTGTGGAACTTCAGAGGTGCGTTTGACGGTATGAAACAACATGAAAGACAAGGCCCCATTCATTGAGAAGGCAAAAAAAAAGTCTATCTGAAAATGGATTATCCACATTCTAGTGCAATTTTTTGAGAAAAAGGCGGCTTTAAACTTCGAACAACTGGGTTTGTCTGAAACTTGTGTACCCTGGAATCGATTGGAAACACATATTATTATCCGCATTATTTCAAGGCCATGAGATATACCATGATATACCCCAATTTTAGACACATCCAACTGGATTTGGTTGCTGAGGACCGACATGACCAGCGCCCGCTTGCGGCACATCATGCTGAAGTTTCAGGATGTATTTTTTTGGGATCGCCGAGAGGTGAACCATGATAATCGGAAGTGGGAGAGGGAGGGTTCTTATGGATCCCCAAAAAAGATGAAAAAACAATAAAAAACATAGGTTTCAATGCGAAGTCACGGTCTAATGACTTGGATGATTTGGGGGTACCCCCATTGCAGGAAACCTCTCATATATCGTCAGTTTGAAGTTTTAAGGGTTGAGAATACAGCAACTTGAGGGAATAAGGATGAATATGGATCGAATACCGGTCTTACTCCTGTTCTAAAACAAAATCAACATGTTTGATTGCTGGAAGGTATCCACAGTATCCCTGAGTCGGTTTGAGGGAACATTTCCAGGAACCCCCTATATGACAAGCCATTCCTGTAGCTTTTTCCCAACAAAACCAATCCAAGTGTTTGGTAAATATGAAAAGTGAGGTCAATGAGGTCAGTGGGGTAGTTTTTTCATGAGGGTGATTTTTTTGAAGATTCAGCCCGTCTAGATTAACCAGACTAGTTGATGTGAGTTTATGTGCCGATGACGCATGTCATCAGGAAATTGTGCCTTAGGCAACGTTGCCTGTGCCTCTGGAAGATTCTTCGACGGCGTGGGTGGCAGGTTTCTTTGAAGCCAACTGTGACGTGGAAGCTCCGAAACTGGTTGATCCACTTGGGAGAGGCTATCCCTCCACATGATCTTGCCATGTCTCGGAGTCGTTTTGTGCCATGGTCAGAACTGATTTGTTTGTTGCTCACATCGTAGGGCCTAACAAGTTACAGGTTTATCTAACTTTCGTTGGGTTTTTGAAATACAGTATAGAGATTAAGGACCCCTATTCCCTACGCTGTTTGGACTCCATAGACAGTTGAAAACCATCTCCAGCACCATCGTCAAACATTTTTAGATCTACTAAGAGTGGCCTGTACCAGTCATTGTTAAGTATCCCTCGTACTGGTTGAATACCAGTTCAATGGAATTGCAACCTCATTGCAACCACCTTTAGGAATCATTTCCCTGTGAATTGATGCACACAAAAAAATTGGCAGCCATAGTATTTCAATATCCCAAAAAACATCCCGTCATATATCATCATATATCTATCATATATATATCATCACTATGGCTGGTATCTTTGAAACATATTGAAACCAATCTGAGATGGTAAAATCCTCTTTGGGATTGCTGTAATCCCCAATTTCTTAGTGCTCTAACCGCCAACAAAAACCCGAAGGACGGAGCCCCAAAGACACCTGATGGGAAGAAGGCGCCAGCATCGCCAAAGGGCGGGGTGAAATTGCGCAGTTGAGGAGTGATTGCGAAGTAAACCATAAACCGGAAATGGCTGCTTAAACTAAATATATACATATATATATATATATTTAATGGGATGGAATAGGGAAATTGTATGAAATGATAAATGTTGAGATTTGATGATCTTACGAGTGGATTCCGAGCTCGTTGGCCGGGGCTGGAAAAACAGTTCGTTTCAACTCCGGATGGACTTCTTCCAGGATCTTTTGTGCTCAAGTATGGTAGTTTAATACATGTTTGACGCTTCATTTTTTTACTATTCATATCTATGCACAAGGATATGATATAGTATTGAGGTTGCAGATTTTCTAAGTTCGGGATAAGCATGGTATGTTGTTTGTTTTGTCCCACCCTTTCTCAAGAACGTTTTGGAAATCGTTGAAACAGGTGCGGAGCAAGGCAGAAGCGGAGACGCTGATGAGAAAAATCATGAGGCTGGGAGATGATTGACTGGTGTTCCAATAAAGGGAACAGGATAATAAATGATAATAAAGCATGTATAGCATCCCCTAGCCATAGATAAAAATGTTGGACAGCTGGAATTTTTGGAGGAAACATCATCTATGACATTCTTGAAACAAATTTCTATTTTTTTGCGTTGCTCCAATGGAATGGGGGCACCACATTTTGAGACCCCAAAAAAACGGATCTAGGGTCATGGCAGTACTAGTCACTGCATATCTGGTTGGTGGTTTCAGAGATTTTCAAACATTTTTTATTTTCCATTTCATATATGGGTTAATCCTTCCTATTGACTACTGTAATATTTCATCAAGATGGTTAAACCACCAACCAGGTATAGATGATATGTATATATATATATATAACTATATATATATATATACATATTCGAACTGCATCATGCACGCTCTTCGCAAAAATGGTTTGGGCCAGATTTCGCAGCGCTTTCTTTCTTTTTTTGAGACCCAATTTTCAATTGCATTTGCATTCCCCTTTGGTTTGAGGTCCATAAGGGTTTTGTTTCTCAATGTTCTTGTTATCCAGAAAACATATGTGGGTACAGTAAATTATAACGACCTCACTACGACCTTACTGGAATGATGGTTAGTAAGGGACATTATCCCAATATAGCCTTATTTCAAGTTTGTGCATTGTTATATTTGCCCAGATATATGGAGGATCCCCAAGTCACCATGAGTTGCAATACTAAGATATGTTCAAAGACTTGGATGATCTTGGATGGTTTGGGGTATCACTGTCACTACTTTAGGAAACCTCCAGATAATATACAAATGTTGTTGGGAGTGAACCATGACTATACAAACCTACAAATCTCTGTGTATATATATATATATGACTATACCATATTGGGATGTGCGGGTGCACCATCCATGACCAATGTTGCTGAGTGAACTGCCCGAAGCCGTGGTTTCCTGTGCATAGGTGGTCAGGTAAAATTGCTCGGCTTAAGATGGATGTTCCCAAAGAAACATGGGGTGCTTAAATAATTGGTGCTTTTATCCCAATATGAATGTTAAATAAACAGATGTATATAAGAAACACACATATATATATATATACCTTTAATATGATTAGAAGGAGGTGAGCCTAATAAATTTTCACAACTCCCATGACTGGGGATGGTTGGAATACAAGGGATGATTTTGTTGTGGACGTTAACGGCTTGCAATCAGCATTGCTCCTGACCCTTATCAAGAATGATCAACATTCTATGTTTTGTTTCTTCTAAAAAGATAGGGATCAGGGTTCTCCATTCATCCCCGCCATTCCATGGTCAAACCATCACCATTCTTATGGCTTCAAACAAGAGATTTCCATATTCCCATGGGATTTCCATCACCACGGGATTTCCCATGGTTTTTCCATGGGTCTCACCGGTTTTCCATCCCCCCAAGCCCGATTTCAGGGATCTCAATGAAGAAGCGAAAGAGCTCAAGTCGTTTTGCTCAGCTCGATGGTATGATGGGGTTTGAACTTATGGGACTGGGAACATGATACTGAGAAGCTACCAATACATGGGATATGGGACATATATATATATATGGGATATGAATGGCATTTTTATTAGTGGGATATTTTTATACTGTTTGGTGCTTTGGAACATGGCTTTTATGACTTCCCATATATTGGAAATGTCATCATCCCAACTGTTACTCACTCATATTTTTCAGAGGGGTGGGTCAACCACCAACCAGTTATGTAATGGGATATAATGGGATATAATGGGATATAATGGTCCAGGTACGATGGAAGAGAATGGTGTAATGGTGTATCTACTGTTTTTTTTGTGGAAATTCCCTCTGGAAATTCAACGATTTCTATGGGAAATGAATGAACACAACCCATTTACAGATAGCCAGTCATTAATTTTTCCTATGAAACAAGATGATTTTCCATTGCCAAGTTAGTTAGATTACCAGAGGGTATGAACTTTTTCATTCTCCGCATAAAAGGGGGATAGGACCCTTGCGAACACATTCCCCAATTCAGGGGTTGATAACTGTCCCTGGGGATTCTGTAGATCCCAGTACTTGTTGGACAAAAAAACACATCCCCAGTAGCTTGCTCATGTGAAAAAGTTTGGACATTTACCAAGCCTTGCAAAATTTGAAGAACAAAACATATTGCGATTGATATTGATATGTCCAATAGTTTTGGTTTATTTTTTTTTCCACCAGCAACTGAATAACAAACACATCAAGAAAGATGTGGGAAAAACTATCCACCACAGCCAGGTCAAAATTGTTCGAAAACGAAAACCCTGAGGTCGAAACACCGGGGTCGAAAACCAGAGGATTATGCCCTCAAGTGGCTGGGCGTTGAAAAGGCCATAGATACCTGGTGTTGGAAGGGTAATGTATCTCAATTTGGTTCATATATGATATCATATGTATATGATGTATATGATTCTATCATATATATAATAATATATATGATAATATATATAATATTTAATATAACATATAATATATAGCATATAATATAACATATAATATATAGTATATAAGATAACATATAATATATAATATATACTAAATAATATATAATATATAATGCATTTCAAGTACGATGGGGAGCCTGCTTGCAACTTCTGCTCAAGTAAATGGTGGTTTGGCTTGATAACTTTTGGGGTTGGGTATCTTTGGCTTCCGAGATCTCACGCCTCACTGCCTGTCCAGTCCATTGTTCTGGCTCGTGCATCCCTTGGCTTTTCACTGGCCTTCTTCTTGGACTTTTGATTGCTCTTTGCATCTTTGGACTTTTCCTTCTGTGGTGGTCTTTGGACTTGGATTTCAGACCATCACAGCGCACTACCCGTCCTGCAAGGGTTCCTGTGAGACCACGCCTGGCGAGGTACTTGGATGAGTGAGTGCCCACTGACAGCCAAAGAAATCCGTGAAATCATTACAAGACTGGAAGCACTTGAGAAGTGGGTTTCAGACAGAGAGCCTTCTAGCTCTGCGAGCCAAGAGAAAGGAAAGGGTTTTAGAAAGGGTGGTGTGGCCGATCGTGGACGGGCTGCTTCACAATCAATCCCTGTCTCTCCCTTTCCTGCCGTTCCTCCGATTGCAGCTGGGTGGCGCCTTGTGAAAGAAGCTGGGCAGTCCTTTCGCTCAGTGTACGGACCAGTTCCCTATCGTGGCCTTGAAGACGGCCCTGGCCCTTTGCCAGATTGGGTTCGGGATCAGAGTGACTTTGTTAGCCAAGATTCCAGAGCTGCTGAGAAGCGCATTTCCTTGGCCTTCTCTGCTGGATTTTGGGCCAGGATTGCGATCGAGACCAATACAGACAATCTGCATCCCTTGGTGATTTCGGAGCCTGCCACACACATCGTGGTACTCAGGGCTTCTGGTCTTGGAGGGTACGTTAGATTCAGCAGTTGGGGAGATTTTGAGGCTTTCCGTGAGAAGGTTCCTGAGACTGAGCTGGTTGCCCACGGTTTTGCGACAGAGACTGAATTGAGTATCTTTTGCTTCAGCGCACGCATTGCAGTGCCAGCGCTGTTCACCAGATGCTGAGAAAGGATAGAATAAAGCCAGCCTCCAAAGGTGACCCGAGCTTGCTTGTTTTGTCACTGCCCTCTACGGTCGCCACTTTGGAGGAGGAGCTGGATGTTTATGCCTTGCCACTTGAATTCAGAAAGGACGGAATGTTGATCGTTGTTCCTTCTCAGGTCATCAGTCCGAGTGTTTTGCAAGAAGGATTGACAGGTGCCGAAGATGCACTTTTTGGTCCTAGTTCATCGTTTCAAGCTGCATTGATGGAGGAGGCAGATGACCTTTCTCTGGTTGAATTAGGTGTTTCAGCTGAGGTTGTAGTGGTAGACGCTACTGACGACATTTTGGATCTATGCCGTGAGTATGACCCTGTGACAGACTCTACAGCAGCGATTCATGGATTCTCTTTTGATTTTCCTGCTGGTCTTCCAGACTGCAATGTGCTTCTAGGTCAGGTGAAAGAGTGGATTGCCTCCCGTCATGAGGATCGCGTGGGTTTTTACTCAGCTCAAGAAGACCTGGTGAACCCTGCCACTCCGAAACCTGCCACAGGTGCGCCAGCCAAAAAGGCGCCTGCAAAGCAGCGTGTGACCAACTCAATGATAGCAGAGCAGCTTTCAAGCTTGTCAGCGCAGATGCTACTTCTCTCTCAAAGGCAAGACAAATTGGAGAAATCAAAAAGCGGTTTTGCAGAAGATGTTGGAGGTCAGGCACATGGCCATGCTTTTACGGCTGCCCAGAAGCTGCCTTCGGTTTCAGCAGCCCTGCCGAATCCGAGTGGGATCTCCCAGACAATGGCGGCAAAGGCAATGGGACTTGTAGGCCCCCCGCCGAAGACTGCGAAGAATGTTTTGCCAGCTCCAGAAATGGACCTTGCTGCCATGGACGAGCCGCTGGATATACTCCAGGCCAGACCAGAAGAAGTGGGAGGAATCGCCACCGCGCTTGCACAGCAGAGCACAGCAATCACTGCGTTGGTCGCGCATTTGGCGTCCCAGGCACCAGATGCTCTTGGCGACCTGGCCTCACTAGGCCCTTCGTCGAGTACTACAAAAGGAGTTCAAAGAAGAGAGAAGATGCAGAACGAATTGGCAGCAGATTCCAGCACGTATTACCTTCAGATGATGCAACAACTCCATCGGAGACTCCACCCATCAAAGCCTATTCCTCAAAAGGAAGAAGATTTGGGAGATCTCTCTGTGCTTACTTACCTGGAAAGAAATGGAGGCTACAGGAATCATCGAGAGATGGGTCTTATTGCCTGGATTCTGGGTCATGCTTTGGATTCAGCAGCGGCTGGAAACATGAGGCGGACGAGAGAGATTTTAGCTCTCATGATGGTGGCAGTGGAGCAGGCGGTTGTCGACAGGGGAGATTGGTCTCTAGCCTATATGCTCACCCTCCTGGAGGAGCCTCCGAATCAGCTCTACCAAGATCGGGCTGTCAATTTGGCCCACAGCTCGAAGCCTTTCGGCCCTCTGGTTCCTCCTCAGTGGACTGCAGTGTGCCTGTCGTATCTGAAGGACTTGGAGGTGCTGTCAACGAAGAAGGGCGAAACGCAGAAGAAGCCAGCAAAAGCAGCTGCAAGTACAGACCCAGCAGCACCAGCAGAACCAGAGAAGGAGGCCTCTCCCAAGAGAAAGCCCCGGTTTCCCAAGAAGCCGAAGGCGAAGTCGGCCCCGGATGCATGAATGCGGACCAGGTTCTCTCCTCCTCCCATATCCTTGAGGAGTTCCATGCGGAGCAGGATGAACCTTGTTTTTTGGGTGATGGCCTTGACGGCGAACCAGTTCCCGGTCACCCTCACAATGCAAAAAACCTTAAAAAGAATTTGCATGGTGCACCAAGGACGAAGTCGCCTTTGGCAAAGCATGTTAGCAATCAGGCTGTGGATACCTTGGATTTCAATAAGTGGTGTGCATTTTTGGCCGTTTCAATTTTGAGAACCAGATCACCTTTTGCTAAGTTCCTTCATTCCACCTTGCATTTGCAACGAGGTGTCGAAACCTCGGCATCGCCAGTGTTTCCCTTGCCCATTCCTTTCCCTGGTGTGTTTGCAAGGATGCCCTCAGGTCTCTCTGCCAAAAAGCGATGTAGGATCCATTTCAGACGTGCTTGTCATGTGGTGGTGATGGCATTGAACTTTTGGTGGGCAGGAAGCAGTTTCATTTCATTGGAACTTCTGAGGAGGACCCCTTCGAAGAGCCAGCAGGATTTACTGCATCGGTTGTCAGGTCTTTTACTGGCTGATGGCCCCCCTGAAGCCTTTGAGGTTCTCAAGAGTGGCCGTAGATTTCCTCAATTAGTTGCAAGATTGTGTGACCTCTCAGACATGCTTGCGAAGCTTGGTGTAGGGTCCGGGCCTTATGAGAAGACGTTTTCCGGGCATTCAGTTCCTTTGGATCTTTCGCGCTTTCAAGAGTTGGAGCCCTATAAGTCCTTGGATGCGAGCCGGCTCAAAGTGGTTGGTCATGGTGAACTGGATGCTACGCCATTTCTCTCTCCTGAATTGTGCATGACCTATAGGTATCCAGACTCACTTTTGCTGAATATCATACCTAAGCCCTATGAGTATCCGGCAGTGATGGACGAGCCTGATGAGGTTGTGTCTCTAGCGCGCCTTTGGGATGCGCGGGGTTTGCTTCATATTCATGATGTTGATATTCAGAAGGAACGTCGTTTTGAGCTGGTGAGGGTTTTCAACTGTTTGAAAAGCGCGGAAGTCGACCGTCAGATTGGTGACCGTCGTGGAAGAAATGCTGTGGAAGCCAGAGTAGTCGGTCCCTCTCGCCATCTTCCTACTGGGCCTGATCTGTTGGATTTTTCCATTGAGCCTGACAGGGAGCGCATTTCGGTTGTCTGCACCGATCGCAGGGATTTTTACCATCAGTTTTCAACGACCTCGAACAGGACAATTTCGAATACTGTTGGGCCAGTCCTATCCCTGCGGGATTTTGTTGACACTACAGCGTATCAAGACTTTTGTGACAGAGCAAAGCGCAATCGGCGCAGCAGAACTGCTGTGGGGGATGGGCTTGGTTTTTCAGACCGCCAGCAGTTCTCAAAGGTTAGTGCGGGTTGTTGCATGGCTGCCTTCAAGAGTATCTTCCAAGGTGATCATGCAGGTGTTGAGATAGCAACTTCAGCGCATGAGGGTATTTTGCAAGAAGCTGGTCTGTTGACTGAATCGAGCAGGCTCCTTTCGAGCAGACCGTTTTGGGGCGACCAGCTTTGTGAAGGCCTGGTGATTGACGACTATTTTGCTATTTCAAAAATGCCTAAAGGAATCTTGGTGGATGATCCTGCACTGTCTTGCCTAAACAGAAGCAAGGAGAAGTACAGAAACTTGAATGTTTTGGGCTCCGATGACAAAGACGTCAAGGGCCCCTGTGAAGCCAAGGTAATTGGAGCATATGTAAATGGTGCTCCTAGAGCTGCAGATAGGGGGCATGTTCTGCTGTCGGCACCTCCTTCTAAGAGGTATGCACTCTCATGGCTGACTCTGCAACTGTGCCAATTGTCCTATACAACTGACTCACTGCATTTGTGCCTGGTTGGCGGGTGGACTTCGGTGGCTATGTTCCGTAGGCCTTTCATGTCCCTTCTGCAGAAGAGCTTCCAGGTGGTCAACATGGAGAGTTTTGAGATTAATAATCCTAAGCTCGTAGGGCTCCCTAGACCAGTAGTTACTGAGCTTGTACTGATGGCAGCCCTGGCGCCCCTCATGACTTCAGACCTTGCAGCCACCTTTTGTGACCGTATTTATGCTACTGATGCCTCCCTTGCGAAAGGAGCAATTGTGAGTGCTCCTATCTGTCCAGCACTTGCAAAATGCACTTGGCGAATTTGCAGGTCCAAAGGTGGGTATTCGAAGCTTCTTTCCCCTGCTCAGTCTGTTTTGGTTAGATGCCTGGACTTTGAGGAGCATGAGATTCCAAAGGTAGAGCCGGTGTCTAGGCCTTTGGCTTATCGTTTTGACTTCATAGAGATCTATGCAGGTGCGGCCACTGTCACGAAGCATGTCGCAGATATGGGTTTTTCAGTGGGGTGTCCCATTGACATCTCTTTCAGTGAGGAGCTCAACATGAAGTACATACATGTGTTGGAGTGGATTTTGCACTTGATCTCGCATCACTTCTTGAAAGCTTTCATGATTGAACCACCATGCACTACCTTTTCAGTCATGCGTGTGCCTCCCTTGAGATCAAAAGAGCAGCCTTTTGGGTTTTCCCTTGAGGATGATCAAACGACAGATGGGAATGAGCTGGCGTATAGATCGTTTGAGGTCATGCATGGAGGTGTTTACCATGGCGTCACGGGAATTCTTGAAAACCCTTGGACTTCGAAGATTAAGTTCTTGCCTGGTTTCGAAGTTTTAGCGGCCAATGAGCATTGTGAAGTAGTGCGATGCGACTCTTGTGCCTATGGGTCTATACACCTCAAATCTTTCCTGTTTCTTTGCGCCTGGGCAGATGTTGCTCCTATATCCAAGAGATGTGACGGTTCCCATGTTCATGTCCAGGTGCAAGGGCAGTACACCAAAAAGTCAGCTACGTATGTGGATGACCTTGCAGCGGCCTTAGCTGAAGTCTGTGCAATTGGAATTAGGCGCCTTATGGATTTTGAGAGTGAAGCCTGTGTTCAAAATGCTGACGGTTTGGAAAGTCAGCTCATCAACGAGCTGAGCTCTTCTCTGCCTTGGGAGCTTGATTCGGTTTGGACTTTCAGAGTGACGTCTCATATCAACTTGTTGGAGCTGTCTTCTGTTGTGCGCTTGGCTTCGAGACTTGTCAGAACAGGCCGTCCCATTCGCATTGTTGTCCTGGTGGATTCGAATGTTGTTAAATGCGCTGCTGCAAAGGGCAGGTCTTCTTCTAGACTTCTTTGTCGCATTTTATGTAGATTTGCGGCAATATGTGTCGTGGCTGGCATTTATATGGTCTTTGGCTATGTTCCCACTAGGCTCAACCCTGCCGATGATCCCACACGGGATGTGCCAGTTCGGGTTCCTACTCCGGGCCTTGGAACTTCCGGCTGGGAGTCGCTTGACATTTTCCGTCTGTCATCCCTCCCTAAGTGTCGTCGTTGGCTGTCGAATTGGATGCGTCTGGTGCTCCTTATTTCAGGTCCTCCATGTCTGCAGTATTCATGTCGTTCTGATTTTCGCTGTCCTCGCTTTCCCTATGGACTTTCTGACGGTGGCTCCTCCATGTCTTTTTCTTCTGTCCAGGCCAGAACTTGCCATCATTCCTCTATGGACTTTGACTCTACCTTGGGCTTTCCTGGTGAGGGTCCTCCTGTGGGTCTCGGTTGCCTTAATTTGTACCCCCAAATAATTTTGGTATGGATTTGGGCCGCGCTCGCGCCCGTGTGCCATGGCGTACTGGCTCCAAGAAACCCTGGAGATCTGCACAGACAAGCTGTTCGACAGGGCAGACCGCCCTTAGTTGAAGGTCGCCCTGTCTTAGGTGTCACAAATCAAGCTCGACAAGGATATCTGAGTCAGTTCGAACAATGGTTGCAGAATTTAGGTATCTCACTGGATGATTTACTGGAGAATCATATCTGGAGGATTGATGATTTAAACAAGTTACTGGTCAGGTATGGTCGAAACCTTTATGCAGTTGGCCGCCCTTACAACCATTATGCGGAAACTATAAACGCGCTGTCGTCTAAAAAACCTGCTGTCAAGCGACAAATGCAAGAGGCCTGGAACTTAGCATTTGCTTGGGTCCGCGATGAACCTCCTGTACATCATGTTGCGATGCCTTGGCAGATTTTATTGGCAGCTCTGACAGTGTGTTTTTCTTGGGGTTGGCTGGATATGGCAGGAATGCTAGCACTAATGTGGGGTGCTTTGCTACGAGTTGGCGAATTTACTCAGGCAATGAGGTCAGACTTGCTTTTGCCTGTTGATACAGGGTTCACAAATCAGTTTGCCTTATTATCACTGCAGGAACCGAAAACTCGTTTTACAACTGCTAGACACCAGACGGCGAAGTTAGACATTCCCGATTTACTGCATGTAGTTCATTTAGCCTTTTCACGGCTAAAGCCAACGCAGAAACTTTGGCCGCGTTCTGGACAGACTCTGAGGAATAGATTCAAAGCAATCCTTCAAGAGTTGGGTATTACGCCACAGGTCCGCCTCAATGGTAAGGGAATGGATTTAGCTTCATTGAGACCCGGAGGTGCGACCTGGTTGCTCCAGACGACTGAAAATGGTGAACTAACACGAAGAAGAGGACGGTGGATAAATCAAAGGGTCATGGATATTTATATCCAGGAAGTTTCCAGCTTCCAGTTCCTGGCAATTTTGACGGAGCCTTCTCGCGCAAAGATTCTGCAACTCTGTCCAGCCTTCCCAGCCATGTTACAATTTGCAGAAAACATGTGGGAAGCCAATGTTCCGTTTTCTGCCTGGTATGTGGTGATGAAGCACAAGTTACAAGGAAATAGTGGGCAAGGTGGGTCTTCCTAGCTCTCACCATGGACCAGTGACATTCTGGTTCGAGCTTTGGAATGTGTATACATGCTACGCAAAGCCCGTGGAAGTGAAAAGAAGGGCGATCTTGAGTCCTTGCATTTCAAGTACGATGGGGAGCCTGCTTGCAACTTCTGCTCAAGTAACCCACCCGGGCATTGTCTCCCGCCCATTGAGCAGTCCTTCCTCACCACAAGGGTCTTCCTAGCTCTCACCATGGACCAGTGACATTCTGGTTCGAGCTTTGGAATGTGTATACATGCTACGCAAAGCCCGTGGAAGTGAAAAGAAGGGCGATCTTGAGTCCTTATATAATATATAATATATAATATATAATATATAATATATAATATATAATGTATATTATATTATATATAATATAAAATATACAATATATAATATATAATATACAATATATAATATATAATAAATAATATATAATGTATAATATGTGATATATAATATACAATATATAATATATAATATATCATGTATAATACATAATACATAATATATAAAAACTAATATGTAATATAAAATATACAATATACAATATACAATATATGATATACGATATGTAATATAAAATATACAATATACAATATACAATATATAATATATGATATATGATATATATATAATATATGATATATATAATATATAATATATATTAATATTATATAATATAATAATATATTATATATATAATATGATAATATACCCTCTGGTAAATAAACATAGACCCTGAAAATCACCATTTTTTAATGGAAACTAGTCTTCCAACCCCTATCTGCCAGGGTCTATGTTAATTTACCAGAGGGTATATATAAAATAATATACTGTATATATATAATATAATATAATATAATATAATATAATATAATATAATTTAATATATAATATAATATAATATAATATAATATAATATAATATAATAATATATATATATATATATTATATCTATATCGAAAACATCGTTCCGGAGTAGATATTATATCGAAATGTCGTCCTCAGAAGGATGGGAATATGTTTGAGAATCCCATATATCTATCCATATATGTATATACACGTAGACACAATCATACCTGGTTGGTGGTTTGGAACATGTTTTTATTTTCTCCAATAATTGGGATGATGATCCAATCTGACTAATATTTTTCAGGGGGGTTGAAACCACCAATGGCCTCAAGATTGGCAACTCTATGGTGGGTACCCCATCAAACGTATTAGTAGCAATTAACAATGCTGGATACCGGAATACCCCATCATTTTCCCTTATGATTGCGTCTTTTGGATCTAAAATGGGCATCCACCATGATAGGACCAACTGCGCAAGTTCCAGCTCCAAGGTCAGAAAGATTTACCAAGCTCTGCAAGGTTCGGGCTGGGCAAAAATGCCATAAAATGCAACCTTTGGCGATGCCCTCCAGTGAACCAGACATGGGCACACCTCTGAAACTTCCATATTTTTGCTGGCAACACACACACATATATATATATATATAAATAATCACATAATATATATATATGTATTATATATATATATATGTACATATTATATTTATATTATATACATATATATATATATATATATATGTATATTCATACATACACAATGATATACATAGTAATGCCACGTTTGTCAGATGTTGGCACTTAGCTGAAACGAATATCAATCAACGGCATCGATGTGGGTCTGGAAGATGCTTTAGATCAACAATTTGTTTTAAGGGGGAGAACTTGATGAGTGCTCTCCAAAAAAATCGCATAGGTAGCCCATATTGGAGTCATAGAATCCATTCACAGTGAATGATTGTGATTTATCGGGATCAATAGTGATTTTTATCGTGATTTTCACTGATTGAGGGTTGAATGAATAGTAAGATTCTTAAGCGAGTAATCATAATCTCAACAGGATGAGTGATTTTTCAAAGTGATTCTTGACTAATCATCAGTAAATCAGTAATGAACCTATCAGTAAATCATCAGGATTTACTGACTAGTCACTAATGATTTCCTAGTGATTTTTCAGGATTTCCTAGTGATTTTTATCAGTGGATGATCCAATGGCGTCCGGACACCGTTTCTGACCCGAGGAGCATTCGGAGTGTCCCAGTGCGCAGAAGGGTGGCGCCATGTGTGGAGACTTGGGTCCCTGGGCGAAGATTTTTCTCCGGCCACTGGGGATTCATGGGACATGCACGGGACATTCATAGGGATTTCACCAACTATTCTGGGGAATATATATATATATAGTACATACGTAATATATATATATATACGTAATATCATATATATATATAATACATATCATATACCCAATAGGGGTAGAAGCTGGAAAGCGATAGAAAATCACTGTGTTCAACGAAGCTGCTCTACAAAATTCCCATGATTTTTGGACGGAACACCTGCAGGAACCCCTTTTTTTTAGCTGTAAAAGCCATAGTGTCGGGTTTCGATGTTCCAGTCATCCGTTGAGAAACGATGTTACTTTTCATGGACATGAATGGGGATAGGTCGGACAGGTACCTTGATTCCGGGTGACCGCCGCAAACCGTGGCCATGCCGGAACCAGATTTCTGGTCGGGAATCAGATGTACAGGAAATTCCTGGAGAACCTAGCTGGGGGTTCGACAGATTTTGACAGTGACCAGATAGGAAAGGAATACATTCAACAGACTAAGAACTCCTAGGTGCCAGAGATTTCCGGATGGTCCTTGACATTCCAATATAATTATATATATATAATTATATATCTAATTATCATGTATATGATATATATATATATATACATATATGATATTATAGGATTATCATTTGCCATATTGGTATACATACAGAGATCAAAATCCAGCAGTCCAGCAACTGGCGATTCAGATTTTTTGGTCCTTTTTTTGGTCCCTCGGTCCCTATGCATCTCAGGATGGGTGTCAAAGGACGAGCTGAGCTGTGTGGGGATGAAGATTTAGGATATCTCTCGTTGCCCTCTGTTGATTTAGCCAATGATGCATGAATTTCAATAGGATAATAATGATAATGAATGTAATGTAAACATGATGAATGAATGTGAAACATAGGATATCTATAGCCATGGAAAAATGACACATCGATGGTTTTCCGATTTACCGAAGAGCCAGGTGATGTTCAGGTGAAATCACCAGATAGTACAGCAAATCCCATAGATGTCCTTTTCCCACTGGCAAAGAACTAGGGTATGCAGTCATGTCCCCATTAACATCCTATGAAAATGGCATTTTTCTTCGGACATTAGAGGGGAACAGGCCATTATTAGCCTGTTTAAATAAGTTACATTATATTCCCATGACATCTCACGATAAACTTCGTTTATCTCATTTTCCCGTTACACATACCCAGTAGATTTTCTTAGTTACATCCTCAGTAGATGTTATGGGGTTTTGGAACAAAATCTACTGGATATCATGGATTTTTAACTGGTTATATCATATTACCGGTAAACTCACAGTTTGCCATGGAAAATGGGTGATTTATAGTTGGTTTACCAAAGCTATGTTAGTTTACCGGCCAAATCCCTGCGGCCTTTGTCGACAGGACATGCAGAGCAAGCGTGGCGGCAACTTCCGGGAACTTGTAGCTGCCCTGAGGCGGCAGGGCGGAAAGGGTTGGTGGTGGCGGATGTGCATGATATACATGATATACATGATATAATACATTTATGTAGATATATATATATAATACTTATATATACATACGTAACATTATATATATATATATGAAACATTAAATATATATACATACATATACATACATACATACATATAGACATATGTATATATATATGCATATATATATATATATTATTTTATACATATATATATAATTATACATAATGTTACACACACACATGTATATATATATAGCTATATTCATTTATTGTTTTCCTCCATACAATGTCTACTGGGATCTCAGAGCATTCAGACGCAGACCCATCCGATGGTCTCACAGGTAAGCAGCCCATCCCAATCTATGTTTCTGGGATGAATTATTATTGGGATGGATAAATGGATAGTATATTATATGTACCAGGGATTTATGGTGTTAAGTCAATCCTTTTTTGCAGGTATACCATTAAAAAACCATTATCATACAAGAAATACATGTTAAAATATTGGTAATTCAACAGGGTTCCAAAACACATAGCTTTGGGACCCCCAAAAAAAGGCCTCCGTCCCAAAAAGGCCGGGTGACTATAGTGACATCGTCACCTCGATGGCTTCTTGGCGTGGATGGTTGGTGATGGTTGATCTCTGGGGTCAAGTTACATTCTGACATGCCATGGGAAGATCAACATCCATTGACTTACTGGTGCGTTTTACACAGGGAATTTTCGGGAATTATCCATAATCACTAGTAATATCTAGTAATAATCATCCCAGCAACCCCCAGTCCCATCCAGAATCCATTCCCTGCTAAGCACCAGTAAGTTGATTTACCAATGATTTGTTCATCCTCAGCCGGGGCTACCCTGACGTTTCCTGACATTTTTGGCGATGTCAGGGGCATCCAAAATGGGCTCTGGGGAATTATCAATGGGAATTAAACCTAATAATTGGAATTCATTTTTTGAAGGTGAAGGGTTAACCAGCAATCTCAAGTGAGACAACTTAGAAGGTTTTTCAATTTCCTACTAAACTTATCTAAGATAATGGTATGTTTCTGTGTTTTTGAGGCTTACTGTAACAAGCAAGTTTCATTATGGTACCACTGGTTATCCACCATGAACCACAGTTTGTTCACTGCTTCATCCAATGGAATGTGTGAATGAAATTGGTTAACCATTGGCCATGGGTATTTGGGACCCCAATTTTTCAAGGTCCGATGTTTGAAGTTCACAGGAAACAATGGATTCGATGAGGATGTTTCTTGAAATCAATCCATTTACAATTCTGTAACACCAGGTAATTGTTGATGCGGTGCACATCTGGGAAGAGCTTGAATTTGATTTTAATGATTGCTCGAATTGTTGCATATTCATTCGACACCTATTTGTAGGTAGGAAGGCCGTGGATCCGCCCTTCAGCTTTATGGTGATTTCAAACCAACGATGTTTGAGTATGTTTGAGTTTGTGCCGTGTAGAATGTCATGTTTCCATTGGACCTTTCGTTCTTCAAATGATTTCACATGTTTTGGACATGTCGTCTGATTTGGACCCTTTGACGTTTCATGATTTTTGAGTTTTCAACCTTAGATCTTGCTTGTTAACATTTTCATGAGCCTGCGTCTGAGTTTGCCGGAGTTGTGACTCTGGTTTTGGTTCGGGTACATTGTCCAGCCTGTATTGACATAGCCTGGTTGATTGATACTGTAAGGGATGAACACCAAAAGTTATGCACAGTTTGAAACATGCTACTCATATTGCTGTAAACCAGAGGTTTGAGGTCTATTTGTCCTGGCTTGGCATTACCTGCCTGTTTCAGGATCAATAGATTTGATATGTTTTGTTTACGACCAACGAGATTCCTGAAATTTATCATCTTAATGTTGCCGGAAGTGAGTTGGCACAAGTTGGTCTTTGCAAGAAATATACTGTAGGGCTTTGGACAGCGATGAACAGTTTCTAGGGTTTTCATGAAGCATTGGGTTCTGGCCCTTTTTCTCAAGGAAGGGCTACATCTCCTCCAACGAATTGCCTGAGCCCGCGCTCCGCGCTGCTCCGTTTTACTGCGGAGCCTCCTTCTGCGGGGGAACCTCTTTGCCATTCCCCGGTGCCAACAAACCATGAGATGAAAAATCAGCCCCCCAAAAAAGTGCAGCCGCTTGCCCCTCCAAGGCATTCACCTGCCGGCCATTTTTCGGGGCCATGGGATCCATGGGGAACGATAAAGTGATGTCGCATCCACCGCCCCTGGGTCTCCCGTCTGGGGTTCGGCGTCAAACCGAGAGGCAGCTTTCGCCAGAAACAAGCCACGCTCGTGTCGACGCGCCGAAAATGAGGGCATGGTGCTCCCTGAAATCCATATATATATATATTATATATATATTATATAGTTATATATAGCAATATTGTTTTTATAGTCTATAGTGATTTTATGGGACTTACTTAATCGCATCGACAATCGCATCTTCTTTGTGACGATTTTCCATATCATATAATATCAATTCGATCATAGTTTTAACACTAATCATTCCTTTTTTGGGGCTTCACAACACTGAAGAAACTGCGGTTTATTCTGCTGCGTCATTTACCCCATTATCACATATCTTTATCCATGACTCTTGCTGCACTGTCTCTGGCTCAGATTCGCTCTTCAGCTTTGAATAAGGACCCCAGCCATGCTGCAACTCACCTTGAATTGATACGGGATCCTGATGAAATGGTATATTGCACGTAGGTGTAGCTTTCTTCAATGGGTTGGTTTGAGGGAAAACCCGTGGATTTTTACCAATCCATTACTTGTGAAGTCATCATCCAAACAACAATTCGGATGTGATGACTTCATTGATCTGCTGTTGATGAGGGTTTCTGAACCCGGTTGACGAATAGACTGGTCACTCTAGTGGTCCAGACATCCTCCCAAGCCTACCATCAGCAGCCCAGGATCTGTTTCAAGGGAGCCGAGCAGAGAGAAGCCATCTCCACTTGTTGAACAGGCAACCCACTATTTCACTGCTATCCAAACCGACAAACCGACGGGTTTTTGTCACAAGATTTCAATAGAAATATAGCCTGATAGCCTGACCAATCAGCTCAGATCTGAACCTTTAGCCCATCATGGCGCCCTCCGCGCTGGGCGGCGGTACCGTTCTTTTCTGCACGGTGGATCCTAATGGCCGAGGATGACGATGGGAAGAACAAAGGATTTCGATGTCTTCCCTTTTTGTACAGCCACTCGCACCGGAACCACCGGAACCAGACTGGAGTTCGATCCTGCCGTCCTTGGCATGATCCAAGTATTGACACTCAAAAATCATCGGGGATTTTTCGAAAAATGCTGGGAGACATCAATTAATTATATATGTATATGTAGAACATTAAGGTTGAGGCCAGGCAGATGGTTGTGGGGATGTTGCCGAAAAGATGTATGACACCGCTTGGTGTCATTTGCTGCCATCCTTGGTGTCAGGGAAATCTTCCAGAAACAGGAAACCAAAAAACTGGCCGGCCCTGAACATCTGTTTGGTTACCCTCTGATAAACATACAACAAACTATGGAAAATCACCTTTTTTCATGGGAAAACTCACTATAGATGGTGATTTCCATAGTTTTTTGTATGTTTACCAGAGGGTACGTCCTTTTAAAACCACAACGGAGCTCCCCACTGGCCCGGAGGTTATTGGCCGACCTTGCTGCGACTTCTACTGGTGGCCCTGGGAGCCCTGCTGCTCTTAGCAGTGGCTCTGAGAAGATGGTCTCTTGGCATCCCGAAAGGTTGGAACTATAGAACATTGTAGAACCAAAACATGTCTTATCCGATCCTGAATGATGTCCCCTTGAATATCTTGAATGATGTCTGCTCACTTGCCCACTATGCAAAAATGCCCCCGCTCCACTCAGGTATGGAATGGAAACCGAGAATGTCACACGGCATAGATCTGTGCGAATTTTGCTGCGACCTAACTGTACCAATTATGGTGTATGTATGCAATAATACACATCTATAATATAATATATAATATATATATATATATTTATAAACCTATCTATAAATGCAGTGTATACATATATATATATATATGTACAGAGAAGCACAATATATATATATATGTACAGAGAAGCACAATATATATATATACACGTACATATACATACACATATTATATACTAGTGTCTATATATTCATATTGGGAGAAGGTGAATATACACATATTAGGTACTAGTTTCTATATGTAGATGTATATATATATATATAATCATGAAACACATATAAGCACAATGCAAAAAATCGTGACGCTTTGATATTCACAGTTAACTGACTTATCAATTACTATTTGTATCAATCACACATTTTTATGATATAGTGCGTCGATCGTCACTTTTGCCATTGTTGTATATTATCCTTATCATCATTGTCACCACTCGTATCACTCGTATTACGATCGTTCGGCCAGATTGGTCAGGTGTTCAATGTCTTGTTTGGTTCATTCCACTTGAGATGATTTCCATCGGGGAATCTGTGTGGCCCACGTCAGTAGTCTTGGCTGGCATTTTCTATTGAGATGTCCTGACTCGATTTTCCTCATTGAACCATCTACTGTAATTCATAATTTCAATGTTTGTCTCATAGTTTTTTCCCACCTATCATCCTGCCCCATTCTCAGTTTCATTTTCCATCTTAAAAAACACAGATGTTCACGTTCATCTTCCAGATGTTTTTTGTGTTCATGGTAATTTTCCACATTTTCGTCAAAATATCAGGTGATTTACAAAGCCTCCAACAGCGGGCTGGACATGGGCATCATGAACAGCCTCCGCGGCTTTGGTGGCGACGAGTTCCACTACCACCCCTTCGTCCCCGCCGTGGACGACGCTGCGGACGCTGCGAACGGCAACGGCCCGGAGGCTGACGCGCTGGGAACGGCGGTGACGCTGGGAACGGTGGAGGAAGAGGCGCCCGCTTCGGCGTTAGAGGCGGTGGATTGGGATGCGGGGAATGGAAACCAGGAGGAAACCTGGAGATTAGTTATGGTAAGAGATGGTTTCCTAAAATGGGGGACCCAAAATCCAAAAATTTGTTGAGGGTCTCTAGATTCCAACAAAGGTGCAACTCACTCACTCGCTCGCTCGCTCACTCACTCACTCACTGGACCGGAACACGGAGGGCGCCTGGACCCGAACTTCAAATCGCCAGCTCAGGTGGACCAGACCTCATATCGCCAGCAATGCAAGATAGAATGCCAGATAGAATGTTAGAACAGATGCCTGAATAGATGCCCGATAGAATGCCACAAAGAATGTCAGATTGAAATGTCAGAGTATATGCCAGAAAGAAATAGAATATGCCATATATATTTCCAGATGATATGTCAGAAATGGGTCAGAATAGTGTGTCAAGGTGGGGATCACTCGAAGCAAGATATTTTTTCAATGGGACAACCAATGGTGTGGGGCATTTTAGGAAACCTCCACATTTGGTTTGGCACTATTTTCTGGTATTTCTTTTGGTGATATTTTTGATCAATGGGCTTAGTTGAGGTACGGTTTGTTGATTCCTTTGATGGGGATGACTGATGACTGGGAAATATTTTCGAGGAATCTATTCTGTTTTGCTTAGTTTTGAACCTTTTTCACTTTTTCGTAAAATAGGGAAATTGTATTGGAATTGGGAGTGTCCACAACAACTGGAGAATCTATATTAGGAGCTACTATTTTTTGCTGGTCCCCTTTTAGCAAATCCAAGGAAATTGAAGAGGCAGAGGCAAGAGAAGTGGAGGAGACGGCCAACTTTGCAACTCGTTTCTTTTTGGATATGACATGATATGACTGGTTCAATATAGGGCCCCTGGTTATGTTTGTTGGTTTCTAGACCCTATCAACTATAGTATACTATATTATATGACATATATAAGCATCATTATTGGAGTTATAAAACCAACTTAGCTAGGGGACCCCACATTGTTGGATACTGGTTGGTTATTCTGGAAGGGCTGGGTTGGATAGAAATGTTAACTAGCTTGGGTGACTTTCAACGAAATTTGCATGTTTGTAAGTGGATGATGGGCGGATGCCCTTGTCTTGCATTGTTGAAACTCATATACATATATATATATATATATACATATTTCCGGGAATTTTCCGGGATGATTTTTGAATGGCAAGATGTTCAAGATCCATCAAATTCCAAACCAGCTTGTTCCAAGAGTCATAGGCAATCCATTTAAAACATTCCCCAAGGCGAAAATGTACAAGAAACTCAACCCGGGCTCAGAGATTTCTCGGTTCCTTGGAGATGCTCTGGAAGGGTCTGGTCAGTCGAGATTCACACAGATTCACACTGCAAATTGTGGCACGTCTAGCTTTCCCCATCCAATTCTTCTCCTTTCCTGGTGGATTTTCCTGAAACCATAAGCAATTACCCTCTGGTAAACTAACATAGCTATGGAAAGTCACCATTTTTCATGGGAAATTTCACTATAAATGGTGATTTTCCATAGTTATGTTAAATTACCAGAGGATACACTAGTTGCTTGTTTTGGCTTTGCCAGCTGTTGTCAGAGCCTTTCACTTCGGACGGCGTTAGATCATCACGTTTTTGATGGTCATGCCATCTGGTGACATGAATCTCCCCCGAAAATGCTGGCTTTCCCAAAATGGCGGGGGGGCAAAATATCCCAAAATCCATGCCAAAAATGGATAAAAATGGGTGATTTCAATAGAGACAGCAGCGGTGAACCAGGCCCTTGACCAATCCATTGAGCCCAGGATGGCGGCGGTGCAAGTGAAGACCAAACTCTGTGGCAACTTTGCAGCTTGGATGAGGATGGGGGGAAATTATTTCTGTGAAGGACCAGCATTTTTCAGCAGGGCGCCTTATCAAGATATCTGGTTTGTGGTTTCAATCAGTATCTAATCTGGTTGGTGGTTTCAATCATTTTTTATGTTCCATAATATATGGGATAATCCTTCCCATTGACGAACTCATATTTTTCAAGATGGTTATTGCACCACCAGTAATTGATCTTGAATCCTCGAGAAAACTGGGACGATCCCGGCGCCTCTCCGACTTTCATCCTCTCAGCCAAGAAGGGTAGACCAGCCACCCAGTTAGGTGCTTGTTTGCCTACAAATTTTAAATCTTGATAAAATCCCATAGTAGTTACATCCCATAAAATCCCATAGTAGTTACATCATGTTACGTCCCATAGTAGTTGCATCATGCTACATCCCACAGTAGTTTTCGGCATGCGGCTGATACGGCGCCCTTGGAAGGGTTGTTAATTTTGAGATGTGCCATTTACCATCCCTTGGAAGGGTTGCAAATTTCAAAAATGTGGCTTTCCGAAATGGGGGTATAGGATTTGATTTTTTGGTGTCTTTAACATGTTGCACATGCTGTCGTATGATCATCAGGGGGGTGGTGGGGGGGGTGTATTAACGTCCTTGACTAGTATATACTTCCTTTACGTTACGGCACATGTACACGTTGCACATGCTGTCGAATGATCATCAGGGGGGTGGGGAGGGGTGTGTATTAACGCCCTTGACGAGCACTTCTCCGACGTTACGGAACATGTACACGTTGCGCATGCTGTCGTATGATCATCACGGGGGGTGGGGGTGGGGGGGTGTATTAACGTCCTTGACGAGCACTTCCTTACGTTGCGGAACACGTTGCCTGAAAAAAATCAACAAGTGTACAAAAAAATATACACTTGGGCCTATGCTGCCTTGTTGCAGTCTGTGGCTTCTGCGTTGCCGCAAGCACCCTGGCACTGAAGCGTCGAGAAGAGGAAAAAAATGTTTCGGATGGTTGAAAATCATAGATTCCTAGTGTCTTTTTTTGACCCTTGAAGAGCAAAATCGAGTCACCGCGCAGGCGAAACGCAAATTTTCACTCTTGAGTCACACGCCTGCCAATCGAAATGAATGTCCATGTTGCGAACATTTTTTGACGACTCTTGCAAATACCAGCATTTTGTCTCTTAGCCTCAAAAAATCAAAATTTCAAATTCGTCACCCTTACAAGGGCGCCAAGTCAACCGGTTGCCTAATTTTCCCTTGGGTTTTACAAATCTTCCCATGGGTTTCCCATGGAGTTTTCCCTGATCCCAGGTGCAGCAGCGCCTTCAGCTGATCAGCGTGCTGCTGGCGGCGGTGTCCATCGGAGCTCAGGTCGAACCGTCTGGTTTCGAGGGTTACTGTTGGATATTTCACAGAGATCATGTAGATAACTGGTTGGTGGTTTGGCACATTTTTTTTATTTTTCCATTCAATTGGGAATAATAATCCCAACTGACGAACTCATATTTTTCAGAGGGGTAGGTATACAGGCAAACAGATAATATACCCTCTGGTAAATTAACATAGACCCTGAAAATCACCAATTTTTAGTGGAAACTAATCTTCCAAATCCTATCTGGCAGGGTATATGTTAATTTACTGGAGGGTCATATATAATATATAACTATAGACATATCTAAAATCCCATCACAGATTTATGCAATGAGATGTAAGTCTACATATGTATAGATATAGATAGATGTAATGTATAGAATATGCAATATATAGCTATAAATATGTATATATATATATATAGATAGATATAGAAAATTATATGTATATATATATACATACATGTATGTATATACATGTGATAGGCAATACATCAGGATAATCAAGAGATGCTATTTATTGATTATATATATATATGTTATTTATTTTACACCGGAACGCACCATTTTGTACAAATAAATTATTGCAGAGATTGGTAATCCAGCATAGCCAAAGTGGTTTCCCATGAATCAATGGTCTTCATTGATATGAGTTATTCATGGTTATTATTTTTTAATCAATTGGAATCAGTGGTTATTAATGGTTATCAATGGTGATCTTCATGGCTATCTGGTTGGTGGTTTGGAACATGTTTGATTTTTCCATACATTGGGAACAATCATTAACAATCATCCCAACTGACTTTCATATTTTTCAGAGGGGTAGGTATACCACCAACCAGCTATGTTTTTGGTTAAATATATGTCTTTGGTCAGTTTCTCACCTAGATTTCTATGTGGTCCAACGGCGCTTCGCCGAGCTTCGCTGCCGAGCTTCGCGCTTCGCCCTGCCCAGGTGGTGTTGCCTGAGGAGATCGGGACTCAGAAATTGCCATTCGGTGTCTTGGGTCGGAATCTCCCGGATGGGCCGGAGGAGATGCCCCAAGTTTATGGCACATTTTTGCAAAGCTGAATGATGGCAGAATGATGAATCCCCAAGTTTATGGCACATTGTGGCAATTTTTTGATGGTTGAATGATGGCAGAATGGTGATTGACGATGGGATTCGTATGTATATATTAAGGTGAACATGATGATCAACTGTATCAACTGTATCAACTGTATCAAATTGTCAGGCACCCTATTTTCAGGCAGACCCAAAGTGAAACTAGATTCAAGTGTCTTGTTTCAATTATGTTTATTTGCCGCCAATGATTCGGGATGATGATCCCCAATGACCAGCGTGCGTTTGTGTTTTTTTAGCCACCGATCACGGATGTAAATCGAAAGTAAGTGGTTGTATTCCTTGATATACCATGATATACCTGTCAGAAGTGGATATAAATCGATTTAAACTATTTCAAAGCCATAAACATGCCCCAAACATATGCGAGAGAAACCTTCGGAAATGTGGTGGATCTATCCATGAATTGGTCCGATACATCAGGGGTTCATTCTGATGGAGAACATGGTGGCACGTATCCTGTATCGCTGATCATAGCAGATCTAAGGTTCAAAACTGGGGGACCCGTTGATCCATGCGTGACTGTTGGCAAGGACGCAGGAATCCAATCTCATTCTCCGGGATTATCCATGATTCATCCCAAGCAATCAGAACTTTTTTCTCTTGTGAATTTGGGCAGGCTCGCAGGTTTAGAGGTATAAATGAGCATGAAGATTAATATGGAGGTATGGTGATAACGGCGAGGTAGAACATCCTCAAACTCACCCAAGCTCAATTGTTTAGTTGTTTTTGCGAATTGACCAATTTGCAGATTCTACGCGTTCCACTAGCCGTATACTTTGATCTGAGTGAATTGTAACAAACTCACCATGGTGTCAGATGCCGAAAAAGAAACCAAACAAATCACCTCACAGGTTGCCGAATCAGTATTGTAGCACTGTATCCCAATGGGATTTTCTGGTGTTTTCTGCCCTGAGTTCCTAATCACCTCCCAGGTCAGCTGTTCGATGTGGAAAAGATGAAACAGCTGATTCAGAAGGTCTACACTCGCCACTGGTGCACGCGCAGGCGTTGATAGCTGAGGCTTTCTGGTAGATTTACCCTCTGGTAAATTAACATAGACCATGAAAATAGAGAATGTTTAGTGCAAACTAATCTTCCAACCGCTATTAGGGTGTATTTTTATTTACTAGCTGGTGTAGATTATTCATTTAGTTCCATGGGGGTATAAAACAACAAACATAACTGCGGGGCACTGGGCTCTACTGAACGTAGGGAGTTTGTAATTCATAGGGAATAATTTGACAAGTGATTATTGTGGAAAATCCCGTCCAACTGTTCTAACTATGGGGATATTCTTTGGGGATATATATATATATAGATAGTATGTTCTGGTGCTGATTACAGTAACTCACTTAAATTTCACTGAATGATTGTGGGCAAATCGTGATATAACCCATCCATATTAGATACCCAGATGATGGCGCCCGGTTCCTTATTGGGCCTATGGGTACGTTTCATATCACGGGGGATGTTCTCCCGAAAGTGAGAGGATGGGTCAAGTTACCTATGGAAAGTTTATGGCTGGGCAAGCCATCTATAAATGATTAATCTATGGTTAATCTATGGTTAATCTATGGTTAATCTATGATTAATATATGGATAATCTATGGTTAATGGTTACTAGTTACCCTCTGGTAAACTAACAGTTTGCAATTGGAAATGGCGACAGAAATCGTTGATTTAGCCATTAGCAATTAAAAATGGTGGATCTTTCCATAGTTTTTTGTATGTTTACCAGAGGGTAAGGGAAATCATCCCCATAGCTGGCCCCAAGATTCAGGTGAGTGAAATATGATCATTTACCCAGATGAAACCATTTCATCAATGAATCATTTGTGGATGAGTCAATACCAGGAAGACCAGTGGCAGGACATTTTGCTCGTTGGTCACTCAAGACATAACTTGCTCGTCATGGTTTTCACCCATCGCCAAACAAATGGATTATATATATATATTATATATATATGATTATTATGAAAGCTATGACAGCTATGACATATGAAAGAGATGATGTGATGAAGTGATGAATTCAAGACATGCGTATGTTTCTCCCCCAAGACGTTTGCCCGTTTTTTTTTGGTCTCGGACTGTTGTAAAGAACGTTCCCCATGATTTGGATGGCGAAGGTATCATGATGATCCATGGTGGAGTCAAGACTCGGATTGTTTCACCAATGAAAGATAGTGGTTCATCTATGTTGGTATTGACCATTAACCATAGATTATCCATATATTAACCATAGATTAATCATTTATAGTTCATGTATCTCAAAGAAATCCCCAAGACTTTTTTTTAAAAACTATCCCGGATTTATCCGACACCCCCAGATGGTGAACCAAAAAATTGGGTTCAGATCGCCCCTGGTGTCATCAGCTCCTTTTAATCCACCGGATTTTCCGGCTTGCCATGGGTTTTTCCGGCTACACCGGTAACGGGTAACCCTTAAATCATAAATTTTGAAGCACCATTGACAACCACGAACCAGCCAAGAAGCACTATTCATGGGGAATACCGCTAACATCTGGTGTTGATGTTTAAATATGTTTAAATAATGGCTAGAAACGGCTGTCATTGTTAATCATTAGCCATTATCAACCATTATCAACCATTACTAGCTAGTTATCAATCATTAGCCATTAAACCATAATCATTACTCCCTGATGTTGAGCTAATCATTAAGCATTACAAACCATTACTAGGCATTATATTTATTTAATCATTAGTATTCGCTAAACCATTGCCAACCATTACTAGCCATTATTTTCTTAATCACTCTCAGAGTGTAAATGAAGCATCACTGTTATTTAATCATTAATCATTGACCATGTTTCTTATCATTGATTGTCAATCACTCTGAATATATATCATACTATCACCACTGTTCACACAAAAATCATGCAAATTCATTATTCATGATGATTAATGGGGGATAGCATGGAATAACCAATTATTAACCATTGCTAGCTAGTTATGATCATCATTATTAACCATGGAATAACCATGGAAGAACCACATCCTGGCAGGACCTTGACGGCCCACCAGACCTGGTGCAGCAACGCCCACATCCCCGGCATGCTGACGGCCGCGCAGATGGCGCAGTTCCTGGCGGATCGGGAGGCCGATCGTCATCATGGTCATCATGATAGTACCCTCTGGTAATTTGTTTCATAGCTATTGAACATGGCACCTTTATAGTTGATTTACCGTTCTTGAAGATGGTGATTTTCCAGTTCGCTATGTAAACGTTTACAAGAGGTAATATTATATAACACTGTATGATATTTTTTTTTTTACTATGTATATAATTTTAATATGATAGTAATAGTTATTACATGTTATTTCTAAATTTTGATTGATTATAATGATAATGATTATAATTATAATATATATATATTTATAATATCATATATATATATAATCACATGAACATCATAATGATAATACAACAACATAATGATCAACATAATGATGATAGTATGCTACAGAACTACGTTGTATTACTATCATCATCTTGTTGTACTGTATGATCATGATCATCATCACAATGATAGTAATGCAACAAGAAGAACAAGAACAAGAACAAGAACAAACAACAAAAAAAAGAACAACTACGACGACTACTACTACTACTACAACAACACCAACAACAACTACTACTACTACTACTCCTCCTTCTACCTACTACACCTACTACACCTACTACTACTACTACTACTACGACTACTATGACTACTACGACTACTACGACTACTACGACTACTATTACTACTACTACTACTGCTACTACTACTACTACTAGTACTACTACTACTACTATTACTACTACTACTACTACTACTTAATAATAAAATCATGATCACCATGACCATCAGCATCAGCATTTGAAAACAACTGGCGAGTTTGAAGACAACTGGCCACTGGCTGACGCGACAATGTCCGGAAAATAATGAGTCCAGTGTCGTGAGGGCAAATATCCAAAAAATCTTTACCAACGAACTCTTATGATATGGAAAATCCATCATTTTTGTAGATAATTTCCTGAATTTCCATAGCTATGTTAGTTCACTTGAGGGTATTCTTCAGGTTTGGGAATGATGGGCAGAATGGACCCATGACAAATAATGACATTAATATTTTTCAACACAGATTTGTTTTTTCTTGCAATTTAAACAGGGCTTGGGACGTGTTTTTTTTTGGTTTTTGAGCACTTGAAAAAGTATCTGTTGGAGATTATATCATATCATATTCCCTTTTTTGTCCTACCAGCAAACCATCCGAACGAGTTGGTGATTCACCAAAAAGGTGCACCATGAGAAAATCATGTCAACGGCTTCAACGGCCAGATCGTGACCGAGACGTTGTTGTTGTCGAAGAACATCACGAACTTTCGTGATGCTCGGGAACTTCAGAACTACGGCGACTTGGTACCGGAGCTTAGGAACTTGGAAGCTGTGTCTGGCTGTGTCTGAAAATGGGAGCTTTCTCCAAAACAATTAATGTGGGTAAAACAACAAAAAACAATCCCCCAAATCACCATAAATAGGTGCTATAAATCATTCCAAAATGGGTGGTTTATTATTGTTCTACCCACATTATGTTACATGAGGCTTTAATTAAATCACTTTTTTTTTGATACTCTATTTCAAGCAAAACCATTTCCAGAGAAAACAGAGAAAACTCCAGGTTTCGACGTGTCGACATTTGTGGGTGCTGTGATGTCGACAGGTTTACACATCAGAATTGGTTAAAGTACTGAATTTATGGTGTGACAACCTATTCTTTGGGGTGAGTTGAGGTTCTATGAGGTTCTCTAAAGGTAAAGATGTTTTTTCTTTGATATTACTGTTGAACAAAGAAGACGATCTTCAATGATCCTTCAGTCGCGTTCTAAGAATCTAGTGACTAGTGTCCCTCATTGGAACCTGCTTGGATCATGTTCCGTCGCGATCCCCATTGAAGAAGTCCCCTTAAAATGCTGGTGTTATGCTAATAGCATCGGATAGATTCCTTGGCGACCTGGATCTGTTCGGAGAACAGTGCGAATGTGCCATCGTTTTTCAACACGTTTTTCACTCGTCATTTGTTTGGGTTACTGAATATATGTTACTATACTCTCAGACTATCCTCTGGTAAACCAACAGTTATTGAACATGGCCTTTTTATCGATGTTTTTACCTTTGAAAAATTGTGATTTTCTTGGCACCGTGAGAAAAAGTGTGGATTCTCAGGTAGGATCGTTTCCTCGTTTCCTCCAGGTGAACGCCTTTGGAGCAAACGCTTTCCCAATGGAATCCGAAAGGCGGTGGTGCTGGGGATGATATGGGATGATGATGGGATGATTCATCCCCAAATATCCGATCTGGGGATAATCATCAGGTGGATCCCCTTAAATATCCTGGGGATGATGGGATTGATATGGATTGATGGGATGATTCAATGATGATCTGAGGTGGATCCCAGAAGATTCCCATCACCTGGGGATCCACAGCATTTTTTCATCTCCCCGTCAGGTGGATCTGCTCAAGGTGGATCGTTTGGTGTCCATCGAGGTGGACTGTCACTTCTACAAGAAGGCGGCCAGCGTTGCTGGGCGTTGCTGGGACGAGTTGGGACGAGGGCGCTCGGTTTTTCATGGGAATTCCCTGGGTTCAGGATTCTTCCGGATCTTTTCTCCGATTTTGTGCTGAGAAAGTGTAAATTCCAAGGGTTTTTAGATGGCGAATGCATCGATGCTGATTTCGGTGTGGATCTTTTTGCGGACACTGTGATGCAGAAAATGGTAGATTTGTATTCCTTGGAAGGATCGCAGGAAGAGATAGATATTCTCAACCAGTTGTGTTTGACGCTTGTTCTGAACTCAGCATCATGGAGGCCTTTTGGTGAATATTTGGCCGTATCATCCCATGAATCTCAGTGGCGCCCAGTTTCCCTTCTATTTCTGCAAGTCTATAGCTTGCGCAAAACCACACATTCTTGACTATGCAGACTTACTCTTGTCCCTTGGAACACCTATCTCTAAACTCTAAACGACATGTCGGAAAAGCCAGCCTTTTTTGACGAAGATTGCTATCTCATCCTGCTTAGTAACTTGGCGGAATGACGACCACCTTGTGGCCACAAAACGCCAGGGCTGTCAGGGCTTATTGATCTGGGGTTGAACAAAAAGTTGACATCAAAAAGAGGATGTACAGGTCATATCACATGGTTTCTGCGCTGGCTAGGAATCTTAGTGAAATCTGAGCAGATTGTTCTGCAAAAGACCGAAATAGCAAAGAAGCCTCTCCGTATGGCTTTTTTGGCTACTTCGGCAGCTGTTTTTATTCTCAGTCAAACAACTTGTTGGTGTACCATCATGTTTCTCCATGTGGAATCATACCGTTCCCATTGAGCATGTTCTCTCTACACCACGCGCGGTGTGTGTTTGGAGGTCCGCTTTGCAGAGCCGGCGGTGGAGTACAGGCGTCCGACGTGAATCACCGGGGGACCTTTCTGACCATGAATGAATCAACCGATATTGTTTCCGTTACAGAAATAGGAAAACCATAGGAAAACCATAGGAACACCCACCATCGAAAATCTGAGCTCACAAAACGTGCACCGGTTAAAATCAAGAGGTTTTCCTTTTCTATGAGGATGCGGATCAAGATTTAAGAGCAGGTCACTGCAGATGGGAAAGAATTGCGCATCGCCGATTTCTCCTTAGATCTTCCCAGTGGGGGGCCCACTTCACACACATTGTTTGCTGATCTATGATAATTATCGATGAATATAACCAGCAGATACTCGTAGATGTAGTGATATAGTAGGAATCTTGGCTTTGCCTCATTTGCTATCCAGCAAACAACAATAAGGATGGCAATGGAAACTCCCCCGAATTTACATCCATTGACAAGCCATGTTTCCACCAAAGCTGTAGATGTTTCGTTGTGTACCAGTAAATCCCCATTTTCGGTCGGAAGAACAATTCGAATTCACAAGATCCATCAACAGTATTCAAAAGTGGGATTTGACACAGTATATCATTGCATGGGAGTGGTGATACAATGGGATATAATCTGGTTGGTGGTTTGGAACATGGCTTTTATTTTCCATTTCATATATGGGATGTCATCCTTCCCATTGACGAACTCATATTTTTCAAGATGGTTATTTCTCCACCAACCAGTAATCATTATAACCCATTATACCACCACAACTCCCAGGAAACTTGACCATCAGTGAAAACTTTGCACAGAGGCTCCAGCTGACAGGAAATTCTGGAGCATCACGGACGCCTTGGTCTGGAACACCAAACTTGTGAGGACGCAGGAAGAATTCCAAAGGCGCTGTGGCACAGGGAGGGTGAAGCTACCGCAGTGACTTCAGTGGTGAGGGATCCCCTTTGGATTTCCTTTGGTTGAGGATAAGTTTGAGGCTTCTTAACCCCTTTATAGAATTGGGGATGATCGTAATCCGGTCCGAAACCACTGCAGGATTATAATATAAATATAAGTATAAATGGAACGACAGACCCTTTGAACAAAATCGGCGGACCCGCCTGGTAGCAACTGAGTACTGGGCAAAAGAACATTGGATTGTCTGAACAGCTAGGGAGAAAAAACAACTATATGGTTTATTGGTTAAATGGTGCAACATCCCAGTGTTGGATCTTGAAATGATGAGGGAAAGTCAGCTCGGTGGCCAGACTTGTTTCTTTTTGGGTGGAATGGTTTTGTTGATGCTACGTCAGCAGAAGTTTCACACTGCTTCCCCTTCGTTGAATCAAAAGAACGAGACTCTCCAATATGGCGGGGCATATATCTTTCTTGGCTCTTTCGTTGGGGAATATACCACATTTCATGGTGTAAATCAATGATGTTCCATTATTTATGTGTTTTTTTTCTCCAGGGTTTCGCATCATTTATAGGGGATTTCCAACCAAATTTCATGGTTATACTAGCTATTAACTTCCCCCATTTCGTTCGATGATTTTCCCAGCTTTTTTCACCATGGCTAGGCCACGTGGCTCACCGCGCCGCACAGGAAGCTCTTCCGCGACTTTGGTGCGGTGGCACGCGACAAGGCCAAGTCATTGGGCTATAGCCATCCGGAGGAGAATCCGAGAGTCCGGGAGTGTGGGAGTGTGGGTTGGACCCCAAAAAAAATCAAAAAAATGGGTCCATTTTGGATGGAACAACTAGATGGAAATCAATGGGACTTTGGGATTTTGGTATGGGATTTTGGTATGGGATTTCAGGTGGATTTCAAACGGACACCGTTGGGAATCAATGGATCGTGGGATGTCTTGCCACTTTTGGGGAGTCAGGTTCTTCAGCCAGGAGTTTAGAAAAAGTGGAGTTTGAGAATGAAGAAAGTGGAGTTTGAGAATGATAAACTCAGTCAACTTGGTCAATATCTACAGTTTTACCATATCCCGAAACCTATGATGGGTAAGCCTATGTGCTTAAAAAAATGCTGAGGACCCCTGAATGGCTTGCCATGTTTAGGATCTGTGTTTCACGCAATTTTTTGGGTTGAGCAATTTTGACCAAATTTGCCTGCAATATCCTACAATGATTATTTACCATTGTTGTCAATTGTTACCCTCTGGTAATTTAACATAGCTATCACAAATGACCATTTATAGTGAGTTTTCCCATTAAAAATGGTGATTTTCCATAGTTATGTTAGTTTACCAGAGGGTATCACTTTTCATCCCCATGTTCACTAGGAAAATCATCGTTGTAGCTGCCAAAGTTGGTCAGTGATGAACTGATTCGAGACAGTTTCAGATGAGATCATGTGGGCGAAGTGCCCCTCATAGTGACCCCTAAAAAAAATCATGGTAAGGGGAAGTCCAAAGAAAGGCTGCACCCAGGGCTGTGAAAGTTGAGGTCTAGGCCCAAACCGCAGAGGTACATAGTGGTTTTTCATGGTTTTTCCTCTTGTTACTGTACGGGATCGACACCAAAAAAAAGGCAACTTTCATGGGGATAATATGAGATATATGAGATTTTGGCTCACCTGGCTGGCCACCAACGAGGGCAAGTTGGTGGCAAGTGGGGAGCAAACAAAGCGCTTCTGTTGAAAGATGAACAGAAACATAACTGGCGAATAACTGAAACATACTGAGTCACAAACTCTATCCATATTTCTCTATTCATAAGGTACACCATGCTGTGGACTCCTGTTTTTTTTTGGTAAGCGCTGTCGAATGCGATTGAAGGGCTTTGGCAGCAGGAGCCCAAATTTGCTGTGCTGAAACTGCCAGATGATCCCTGTTCCACCGCGCATTGCCCTGATCTCGGCAACTCCTCCACCGGAAAAGTGGACCAAGAAAGTGGACCTTGGTGGGCGGGGAAACCAACTGGGGTTTTGACGTATTTTTGGACTCTCCATTACTCTCCATTGCCAGAAGTAGATTATCAGAGGGTACATTATATATATATAATATTATATATATAATATTATATATATATAATATTAAGATTATATATATATATATATTGTTAAAACCTTTTGTTGATTGATACTCCATGATGTGTTGATTAAGTCATCATATCATTGCTTGATTTCACGTTTGATTTCCGTGCAAACAAATCCAAGTTTTCGGATCCGAGCTCCGAGGCAACATTTTGCTGTCAGAGGGGGTGCAGCCCGGACTCCCCTTGTATATCGCCTTCTCGTCAGCGGATGCTGTGAAGCAGTACCAAAGCAGGACATGGGACATGGGGATCTTTTTACCTAGAAACAAAATGTGACAAATGGGGATTTTAACCATGAGAAAAATGGATGAAACATGGGGGTTCGGGTTCATCAACTCTGAAAGCTGTGGATGTAACATGATGTAACTCGCCGTGAATCCTTGGGACTTCTCTGCCGGGTTGGGAGCCCCCAGAGCTCTGTTGGTTCATGGCAGTTGGGTCGTCAAGGAACTGGGGATTTTCATGGATTTTCATCATCCAAGGTTTTCACATACCATCTGGTTATGACTAACATAGCCATGGTATAGATGGCCCATTTATAGATGGTTTATATACCTATTAAATATGGTAATTTTCCATGGCTATGTTAAATAACCAGATGGTAGATCAAATCCCATGGTACCAAGGTACCATAGTTTTTGTCGGGGGGCCCACTTCACCCCAAAAAATGTTGGTCAAACCTGGCTGACTTCAGCACAAAGATGGTAAGGGATAACTTTCTCAAATTGGCTTTATGGTTTAGGACAATTTGGAAACATTCTGAATATAATTAATATAATTCTAAACTACTCAGTTTTTCATATAACGATGTCTATGGCCATGCTCAATAGATTTCAATAGCAGACTCTTAGTTTACCAGAGGGTATTTCCCATTCACATCCCCATTTTTGTTGCTTCTTTTTTTTTCATCACCATTCACCATGAAATCAAAAGTTGCCCACGGCAGGATGCAGGGCGGAGTGTTGGAGACAGTCTTCACGGCCGGGGTCCCCATGATTCACATCTGATTCGGCATCCCCCTGAGTCACCGTGGAAACATTACGTGAGATGTATAGGGAAAATGTAAAAATTATTTTCTGGGAATATCATATAATTAATTTGTACGTATAATGGAAATCTGATATAAGATTTTGTTTATTGTTATTTTTGCTCATTAAAAAAGTGATGAAACCACATGTTTGGGATCATAGAAACGTGGTGTTGAATATTACGGAAATATTACAGGGATGGGATGAATGTGGGTTTGTCTGAACATGGAAATGGTGGAAGTGGGCCAGCAATTTATCATCATTTTACTGTAATGGGGACCATGAAGTTTTTTTTTCGCCCATGGGAGTTCGGAAGTTTGGAGTATCTCCCACTTTTAGACACCGAATAGTCATGTATTTTACATCATATAGTCACTAGCTGGTGTGATCCTCCAAGTATACCCAATCATTGTCATGGACCCATATCTTATCATTATCTTCCCAGACTTTTTTACATTACCTTTTCCTAACAAGACCCCATCGAAAAGTTTTGGGGTGAGAAGAGTGAATCCACTTGGGGATTCAGTGACCCAGTTTTTGTGGAGACAAAAAAAACATGGGCCCCTTATGACGGTTGTCAGCAAGGTGTTATGTCCATGAAAATCACCATCATCGGCCATTATCAACCATTTTTATCCATTTTTAACCACCATTAAGTATCAACCATTCAAAAAACCATTGTGAAGCATCATATTAATCGCTATATTATCCACATATATTAACCACTATATATTGATTCACCATAACCCACATATGAACCATGACTGTTATGGTTGCACGTTTTCCGCGGCGCCCGGCACGTCGCGGCCGAGGTGGTGACCAAAGACATGTTGGATCCTGGACAGCACGACGAGACCACTTGGGCAGCACTGGATTTCATGACCGCGGAAGGCGCCGGGATGTGCCATGGCAGCTGGAAGATGGGGCAGTTGGGAAATCATTGACCCATATAAGATATAGCTATAGGATAGTTAAAAGATAAAATCATACCTCTACTATTATATGGGCCATCATAATACAGCCATATCTCATAATCTCATATATATATATATATATATCTGGGTAAATTATAACGACCTCACTGTTCTCCCTCACTGGAATCATGGTTAATAAGGGGAATCATCCCCAAATGGCCTTAATTCGGGTTAGTGAAATATTATAATTTACCCATATATATATATAATATATATATATATGCAGTATAATCATCACATGTTTCGGACATCGTGGCCCTTTCGCGCCTTGGCCCGAAACGAGGTTTGTGGGCCCTTCGCGGTCCATTTTCTCGTCCTTGGTGCTGCTGTCGCGGCAGCGGATGAAGTTCGAGGCCTTTCACTTCGACGCCTTGGCGGAAACGCCGTCCTCGGAAATGCCACGGGGATCCCAGGGATTTTTGGAAATGTTAAAGGGGGATATATAGGAGAAAAATTGGATAATTTATATACACACATATATAACACTTATAACTCATATATATATATTATATTATATTATATTATATTATATTATATTGTATTATATTATATTATATTATATTATACTATATTATATTATATTATACTATACTATATTATATTATACTATACTATACTATATTATATTATATTATTTTATATTATATTATACTATATTATATTATATTATACTATATTATATTATACTATACTATATTATATTATATTATATTATATTCTATTATATTATATATATATATTAATAGTAACCATTTTATGGTGATATTGCATGGGAATATGATGCTAATATGTTCGAGACATCGTGGGATATTTGGAAATAGATAATCAGTGCGAGCGCGATATGGTAGGGTGCTGAGTCAAAAGTATCAACCACTTTTGACCCTGCAAAGTGGATGGTTTTGTATTCTAATGGGTACTCTTGACCAGCAACCATATGGGTTTGGTCAACGGGTTTGTCTGAAAAGGGGTTATGCCACCCAATGAAAATTGAAATCTACGATTTATTCAACATTGGACTTGGGGGTACCTTTTTTTGGATGAACCCTGATGGAGATTTTTTGGGCTATTTATTTTAATGATGGTTTATTAAATGATAATGATGGTTTATTAAATATAAAACCTGATGCAAATTGTTTTTTTTTTTTTATTTCTTTTTTATCCCAACTAAACATTTGTTTGGTTTGGGGTATCTAAGATTAGCAGTATAATGGGGCCTCTGAAAAATCAAGCAATGAACAGCCTAGTTCTGAAGAAAGGAAGCCGAGAATCCCGACAAATCTCAAAGCGTACAACCAATCTTCAAACCTTCTAGATTCCTAGATCTCAGACATTCTCAAAGCCCATCACGAAGAATCAAAGCCTGAAGCTTGATTCATATGGGCAGCCAACAGATATGATCATTGTCACCTGATGCAATCTTGCTGAGGGGGAGGTCCCATGTTCATCAAACCACACTATCCAAATATGAAATATGTGGCAAGAGTGGCAAGAGTGGCAAGAGTGGCAAGATAACACATCTACCATGTGTATTACTGTATGTGTTTTCAAACGGCTGTGGGGCCCTTTGGTAAACATCTACCATCCCAGCAGGTCCCAGGTGAGACGCCCTTGGCACCTGACGCACAGCAAAACAGCTGTGGCTGTTTGTTGAAATGTGTGTTTCACCAATATGTGAAGGTTGGATGTTATTTTGGAAACCTGCATTTTTTTTTGAAATTGGTCAACAACTCAAACCCCATACAACTGCAAGATAGCAATCCACATCACATCCCATCATTTGTCTGGGCAAATTATAACGACCTCACTGTTCTCCCTCACTGGAATCATGGTTAATAAGTGGAATCATCCTAAAATGACCTTATTTCAGGTTAGTGAATTATTATAATGTACCATATATATATAATATAGAGACAAATTTCAACAGATATTATATAAACAGATAAATATATACCCAGATTTGGGTTAGTGAATTATTTTTAATTTGCCCAGATTTGTGATTGCAAGATGGCTTTGGGACTGGAAGTGGACCATGGGACTTCTGAACCAGGGTAATCAATCATGTGATTCCCACGGTGGCTCAAATCACAATGTGTATATGTTCAAAGCCTATTTGTCTTGGTTATATAAGTTATATATGATGATATCAGGATATATTATGTTAATATATGTTAATATAATCTATAGACCAAACTACTTGCCGGCTGTATACTATATCAATCTATATCATATCAACACTGTATATGTAAATGTCTTATACATTATATCAATTATACCAATTATATCAATGTATTTACCAATGATATATATATATATAAGATGTACTGTAAATGTATATCATATATTTCTTCTCGTGTTGCTCCAAATAGCAATTGTTGGTGAATATCCCATCCCGCCCAGGATGGGCGCATCACGATGCTGGAAGAGGATGGAATCCTGAGACCTGAAAAGTCAACGGCGGTGCCGTGGCAGCCGTGGTGGAGTTTGTGGAGTGGGAAAAGTGGGGGGAAAACCCTCTGGTAAACGTTTACATATGTTTACATAACTATGGAAAGATCCAGCATTTTTAATGGCTACCAAGCTATGGCAGCTATGGTCCATTTATAGATGATGTAGCTATGGAAAATCAGTGATGATTTTCCCCTTGCTATGTGAAAGAACCAAAGGGTAAATCAACATGTTCGATGGACATGTTCAATAGCTATGTTAAATTCCGAGAGGTTACTTGGAGGCCCATCGCACTTAGTGGCTTGCAAAAAACCCCACTTTTTTGCTGTAAGTGGGATAAGTAGGTCAATCCACTTTTTTTGAACTGGGGTTATAAACCACTAAGTGGGACGAACCACCAAGTAAACATCTCAAATGGGGTTTTCATATATATAATATGATTTAATGGGAAAAAAGTGGCGGGTTAGACATGGGGATTTGCATCGACTTTCATGGGGATTTAAGATGATTTAATTGGCAAGAGGGATTACCCTCTGCGAATGTGAGATTTTTCGAGAAGTGGACAATCACCATGTTATTCTTTTTTGTAAATCCCGGTTTGTGTTGATGTGGGCCATCACCATAGCGAAGTGTTTTTCTTAGCCATACATCAAATTACTGGAGGGTTTTTTGGCTCATCCCTATCATCTTGCTGCTTCCAGGGATGGTCCCCCTGGGATTTCACAGAACTGGGAGCTATGGTAGAGACCACGACGAAAAGACCTCCCAAGTTTTGGGTCGTAGACTTTCCATTCTGAGCCCAACTCAAAATGGATATCATTTGGGATCCAATCGTATGATGTTATGATTTAGCCACGAAACACTAGAGTTGCCCCGACTTAAACCTTTGAACCCACTAATTTTTGCGATATTTTACTTCTCTGAGCTGCCCCTGAAGACGACGTAAACCTGTAACCTCATTGTAATCCTGAAACTGGTTCCTCTAATCCTCGAACAAGATATATCATCTGGGAGCAGATCTCAAACTTTGGATGTGTGGTTCATTCATGTTTTATAATCCCTTCCCCCTAATATCAAACAACCCCCCAGGCACCATGTTTCTAGCAGGGGATTTACACATATTTGGAGGATTCGGATGGATTTGGTGTTTGATATTGGGGGATTTGATTACCTTAATTTTTGTTGCCAAACATGGCAAGATGTACTACCCAGCACATTCTAGCAACAAACACTTAGCACATGTTTTGTTTGCTGCCTAAGATTGGCCATCACTCTGCGCAGGTCCCCATGTTGAGGAGTCCCTTGAAATGGGTGTCCCTTTGACGCAGGGTGATCCATGTGGCGTGTGATCCATGGCCAGTTGTATAGATGGAAACTATGTGTCCAAACTGCGGGAATTTCGGTGCCCTGCATTTTGACTATTTTGAGATTGCTGTTCTGCAAGGGGGAAAGCGTATGAAAGTGTGGTTGGCACACATCCTTCAGGTACTTCATGTTTTATCCCCAAAGGAACAAATGATCCATTTGGATCCATTTGGCCGATGAGATGGAGGTTTCCAATCCATGGCTAGCCCCAAAATCCATGTGGGGATGGCTCAAAACGGGACCAAAACAAGGCCCCGACTGATTTGCGAGAAGAACGGGGAACACTCAGAAGAACAATATGATAAAAAAAATAGTTAGCTATATCAGTTTTGATATAATATGAGAATATGAATGATAATGATATTAGTTAGTAACATGCAATCGCCCAATTTCATAAACCCTCCAAACAATTACCCAATGACTTACGAGAAACAATCCAAGGACTTGCCAAAGATAGGTGGTTTTGGTCTCATCCCATCCCCAATACTTATTGCTTAGAAAGTATACGTGTCTTGGTTGAAACATGTTGAAGCCATCTTTGGCAGGTGTTACTATATACCCTCTGGTAAATAAACATAGACCCTGAAAATCACCAATTTTTAATGGAAACTAGTCTTCCAACCCCGATGACTGCCAGGGTCCAACTGTTAATTTACCAGAGGGTAGCCCTTTTATTGTTGAAACATTCATTTTGCTGCACTATATTCCCAATCTTTGACGATTCTATGTGGATGGTGGTCTCTTTGAGACATACGTATCCGACGTATGCACTTGCTCGTTGAGAAGAACAGTGGTACCCAACCGTTGAACAGCATACAGCCATACCACTCCAACATATTTATACCAGAAGATCCTTAGTTTGACGTCATTGCCATATCAACCCATGTACCTCAATAATTAAGTCAGAAACAATCCACTTTTCTCAATCGTTCAAGCACCATTTTTCCTCCAATCCGCAGTTTTCCTGATGAATTCCTAGTTGATGGACGGCTTCGATCTCTTATTGATGTGGATTGTATAAAAATCAAACCTCCCCTTCCCTTTTCGTTTCCCAACTGCGGCAGGTTCTCATTGAGTTTGGGAGCAAAAACCAGCAGCGCCTGGAACATGACTCTGGCAGCTGTGAGCGGCTTGGCTGGACAGCACAGGATTTCAACATTCATCTTTAAAGCATATTGTTGGGATTTGAGTAGCTTCTGGATGCTTCTGGCTTCGGCTTGGGTGTATTTTTGTGGGAGTCATTTTTGGGACAGGGATTCAGTGATACAAAATGTGCTGTCGCCAGGATGATCCGTGGGATTGACCGGGATTGACGGATCGAAAGTCGCGTACGAAACATGCGGAGATCAGACAGTCTCCACGGTACCACGGGTATGGAAACCCAACGATTTCTGGACATGAACCTGAAATCACTGAGTTGATCGTTGAACAATTACGAGCATCGGCACAGCTAGTCAGGTTTTTTCAGGAGCGAAGCATGGACTGGCTACTGTTGATCATCTATCTTTGGGGATCTTTGGGGACTTCAATTTCGACCCATATCATCCATACCCTTCGTGGCCAAGCCTTTGTGTTGCGGTCGCCGAAAAAAGAGATTTAGACACATGCTGTGCCGAGCCCAAAGCATGCATCTACACAGATAGGTTCATGAAAACAGGATCGATGTGTGTATATATCTCTGGTTGGTGATTTGGAACATTTTTTATTTTCCCCAATAGTTGGGATGATCATCCAATCTGACTAATATTTTTCAGAGGGGTTGAAACCACCAACCAGATATGTATACAATATTATACAATGACATGTTCATAGCAATCATCAGCACAGCAGTGAGGATAGAATGTGGCAAATCCGCGAAAATATTTACCTCCATTTGAGGATGGTTGAACAATGTTTCACTTCTACAAGGCTGAATAAGGCTGGTTTTTGAGCATCATTCGGACTGTCTTGGGGACATATATATATATATTGTAACACTATTATTCTACATCATGATATCGTCTATATTCCCCCAACAATCATTATATCCCTCAGTTCCCACATATATGAAGCTACACCTTGCTCGAAAACCAAGATCGTAACTATCGGAAACAACATGGAAACAAAAACACATCTAGTTCTGAAATGTTCTGAAGACCTTAAGAAACAACGGGTGGAAACAACGGCTTCAGATTCTCCCAACATCGACCAGGAAGCGCCAGCATCAGCCCTGAATCCTTGGTCCCGGTCTGTCTGACCGATGCAGCGCCCATGTCCGAGTTGGCTCACGGGATGGTACAGAAGCTCCGCAGGGGAAGGGGGCCTGGGGATGGTCAGCCGAGCCGAAACCAAGGAGGTTTGGAAGAAAACCAATGAAAAACCATGAAAGAGCCACAGGTTTTTTGGGGGAAACCATAGAAATATGTTTTTTTTCACAAAAAATGTTTTTTTGCGATATTTTTCCTAGGAAATGATCAACTTAAGTGGTGCAAACTTTTACATATTGATGTACTGGTAAGATCTATGAAGATTGGTAGAAATTATATCACCCTATAGGGGCCTAGTTTACACACAGCTGCTAGATGTTGAGACTTGGATCTGGCAGTCCCATAGGTAGCGATAACTTCCCCAGCTCCGCATCTTCCTTTGACTGGGTGTGTATCCCTAACAGCTTCATGAATGTTTGTGAATGGCTGGGAGCAACTTCCTTGATATCAGCAAAAAACAAGCGTGGCAATGGACAATCCACCATTTATTCTTAGAATTATAGTTGATTTTCCCATTTAACAACTCCATTTATAGGGCATGTTCAATTGCTATGTGTAATTACTGGAGGTGCCATTTTTCATCCCCTCGGCCGAGGATGGGAGTCCGAGTGCTCTACCATCGACCCGACTGGATGGACAAGATGAAACCCATCTTCAATCGATGGAGTCTTCGCTGACATTGCCGTTTTGGCTGACGCAAAAATGACGGCTGCCGTGGTTTTTGACGGGGATAGGATTCGTGTATATATATATATATCTGTTTGGCTTGGACTTAAGTTGTAAGCGTGTTTTTTTTTTTGTACAGGGGATGGAATTTTTATTCATGTTGGTTGAGGATTGATGCTTAATTAGTTATGCTAGGGGATGAAGCTACCTGGTTTTGGGATTATGGACCCATCGCGAATCCCGTTTCTCAACTAACCAGTAGGGATGACAACACGTGGGGATAATAGCTATGTTTTGCCATTTTTTTGGGGGGCGATGAACACCCAATTATATAAGATGAACGAGGTTCTTTAAAACCATTTCAGTAACAGAAGGGTCCCTGATTGACTCATGGTCGGCTCTTTTGGTCAAAGGTTTGTTGTTTTTTTCCCATAAACGAAGCCAGAGATCAACAAAAAGAACACCAGATGAAAGCTTAAAACCCATATGTAAGACCCACATAGCATGTACATATACAATAATAATAATAACACTGGTAATATATAATTATATATATACATAATATATATATATATGTATAATTATACTGGTGAACTCCCATATATATATATATACCCGTAAATATGTGTTATCACATATAATACATACTTGGCACATATACAAAAAGCCAGTGGTCATTTTTTTTCCGAAAAACACACCCTGGGTCCGCCATGGTTCGCCGAGGAAACGCAAGTCGGATAAAAAGTGGAAATTCGCATTTCCCGACTTCGATGGCACTCGCGGCTCCCTTTTGCGCATCGACATCCCCATTGTTGGTGCCCTGAAAAAAGGGGGGGTTGATGTTTCAAGCGTTTCTTGAAAATTAAAAAAAAAACGGCCTCATGAAGAAATTAGTGTTTCTTTTTCCCCACCTGCCAGGTGAGGGTTGTTAGATTTTATGTCAGTTGCCTCCTCCTCCTTCTCCTCCTCCTCCTGCCTCGTCCTCCTCCTCCTCCTCCTCTCCTCCTCCTCCTCGTCATCTTGTCGTCCTCGTCGTCCTCGTCGTCCTCGTCGTCCTCGTCGTCCTTGCTCAACTGCGACCCGCGATCCACAGTGTTCTCTGCCGGACCTCAACCACGACCATCCACGCCCAGTGTTCCCTGCCGGACCTCAACCACGACCATCCACGCCCAGTGTTCCCTGCCGGACCTCAACCACGACCATCCACGCCCAGTGTTCCCTGCCGGACCTCAACCACGACCATCCACGCCCAGTGTTCCCTGCCGGACCTCAACTGCGAGTATCCACGCCAAGTGTTCCCTGCCGGACCTCATGTAGGAATGTCAGATAGACTGCCAGATAGAATGCCAGATAGAATGTCAGATAGGATGCCAGATAGAATGCCAGATAGAATGCCAGAAAGAATAGAATGCAGATAGAATGTCAGAATGTCAGATATAATGCCAGATAGAATGCCAACATATATGCCAGAATGTATGTCAGATAGAATGCCAAAATATATGTCAGATATAATGCCAGAATAGAATGCCAGAATATATGCCAGAATATATGTCAGAATAGAATGCCAGAATATATGTCAGATGAAATGTCAGAAAATATGTCAGATAGAATGCCAGATAGACTGCCAGATAGAATGCCAGGTGGAATGTCAGGATATATGCCAGATAGAATGCCAGAATATATGCCAGAATATATGTCAGATAGGATGTCAGAATATACTAAATATATGTCCAAATATACGTCCTGACATGTCATGGTGGGGATCACACGAAGTAGAGTAATTTTAACATCTGGTGATTTAATTATAGGTATAATCGGTATACTGTAATTATATAGTGATATAGTGATATACAATTGAATTATACCTATGATTATACCTATGAATACCTTGAATATACCTATGATACCTATGATTATACCTAGGTTATTCATAGGTCTTTTAGTGTTTTATACCTTGTTTTCACAGTTTCAGATTTGGAGTTTTTGATGAGGGATCCCAGGGATCCCCCGTGGATCGACCGTCTCAGGATTCTTGGATCATTTTGTCCTCTACACGGATGTTGACGCTCGGATCTGATTAAAACTCTCGGATGTAAACTGATTATGACATATATTATATATACATATATAATTATATACATATATATATACATATATATATATATATATATGTATACATACATACATATATAATTATATATATACATATTACTGTAATGAGTTTTTTTTGTAGAACCAATAAAAGGATATAATGACGTATAATGACGATTACCGATTTGGTGGTTCGTAGGGAGCCAACTAAGGCGCTACAGGAAATGGGGAGCCAAGGAGCTACGCATTTTTTTGTTCCCAAAGCACATGATAGTGCAGGGTTTTTGTGACTTCTGGATTCCTTTGAAGGTCAAACATCACTTTCAATACTTTCAGTGCTTCAGAAAGATGTCTTGCACCCAATTACTGTAGAACTTTCAAAGATTCAGACGCGTAGACATACTGTGGATGCAAGAACTCCACCAGTTGGTAAATGGTTTGTCCTATGAAACTATGAAAATTCCATTACTTACAGTGGTTCATAGTTACTAATAGTTACCACTGAGTTGGAACCTCACCCCCAACTCAGTGTTTTTTTTTGGATTCGTAGAACTCTGGGCGGTTCTTTGTGATGAATTTAACAAACAGTGACTACTTTGGGATCTTCCCAGTTGGTAAATGGTGATTCGAATCTTGCTTAGTTAGTCCCCTAAGGGATCATCCCAATGATCATCTACCGGAATTCTCTGTGACGGAACAGGGTGCTTTGTGAAGCAAACATCAGCATTGTAAACAGTGAGATCTCTATGGTTATGTATCATTATTATTTATGATATTTATATAATATAATATGGTATAATTTAATATAATATAATACAATATAATATAATATATATAATATGATATAATACAGTATGATATAACATAATATAATATAAAATACAATATAATAGTATGTTATAGTAGATTACATATGATTGTATATGCCGCGGACCTTCGATGTTTGGTCTCGGGTACCCTGGAAGTCGTCTAAGTCGGCCATCGAGGATATCATCTTCCAACGTCGCCTGAACTGGGAAACCATCCTTCAAACAGATGTGGAGTCCTTCATGCGCGAAGCCACCGAAGCCACCGAAGCTGGGGAGACCATCTATGGAAAGCCGGGATATTTGGGCTGCGCGGCACTTTAAACATCATGAGATGTGACATGTGACAGGTTTTTTTGTCAAATACACACATAAATATGTATATATATATATATTTTAACATGTAAGCTTAGTAAACTTGTGGTGAAATGCCTGTTCGCTCACTGAGGGTTTATGAATCCACGTTGCTTGATAGGCAATATCCCCGCTTGCTTCATGGGGAAATCGCCGTTGGTTTAGTGAAGTCCCCAATTACTGATATGTTTGCCCCATTGACGGACGATTCAATACCATCTTGTGTCAGCCAGTTGTAAACGAGCTACCTACAAAAGGGATCCGTTTTTGCCAACTTAGATTTTCAGAGGGTCCATCCCCATGATTATCGGTATCATATCCATATGTTTGTTGGCTCATACTCCCAATTATGGGGCCAATCCCCATTTCTGATTCTTTTTTGTTGGTCAACTTTTCCATAGTTTTTCTCGGTTCAATCACATTTTCTGGTGACAGCTGTCCAAAAACAGCTACAAAAACCACTTCCGATTCATTCATTTTTTCGCGTGCGAAGAGGGAGAAACCCCAGATCCCACCCATATGGTTTTTGCCCTGGTTTCAAAGCTCATGATGCTCATAAAAACCCCATGAAGATTGCTCATTTTGGGCGATTTAAATCTGGAGAATGTGGAGATTTTCTGGAGCCCAGCCACATTTTTCTTTCGGCTGAATGGATCCGATGGATCCTCCCAGGTGGCTGAAGGATTGATCCATGGATTTCCTATGAAAATATATGAAAATCATCACTGGTGATGTACCAAAATTGATTTCCCATTCACCAAATCGATTTCCATGGATTTCCCTCGGATTTCCCATGGAATGACCTTCAACAAGAGTTTGCCATCCGCCGAGCCAGTGAGGTTTGCCAGAATTCTTCGCTATGAGTACTGAGTTTCAGCAGAGTTCCAATCGAGATAAGATGGCCACTCAAGCAGAGATGAGGATGGTGAAATTGACGAGAAATGACATCACTGAACTGGGACACCCAGAAAACCAAAGGTCAGGGTCCATGTTAGATCTAAGGTGGTTTTTAGGTCACATGCATGATGACTGTTGCATGGAATGACTCTACGATGGTTCGAACTTTCTTAAAACTGCATCTTGAAGGCGTCGCATAGATATGACATGCAAGAAGCATGACTTACCCTCCGGGAATCAAACATAGCAATGGCACATCCACTATTTATGGATGACTATTCCATTAAAATCCTCCATTTATGGGCTGAATTTCCATTCGATAGCCACGTTTGATTTTCCATTCGCTGCCTCAGCAGATTCTGAACAATTCCCGTCCTCAGCAGCACGGTCGCTGCCCACTAAGGATACTGGCGTGATGCTCATGAATCTGCGCAGCTTTTTTGCAGTGCACCCGGCCATCCCCGGAAAAAGACAGACAAGAAGACCGAGTAGTGCCAAAACCATATTATGAATATACCTCTGTGTCAGATTATTATATAACTATATGTATATATATAATATGCACACATTCTGTTTTATGATGTTTAACGACATTATATATATAATTATACATTATATTACATTATGATATATCATACTAACATATACTAAATTATACTAAAGTACACTAAATTGTATTATGTTATATTCTATTTCATGATATATATATATATATACATGATGTTTTATTTAACCTTATTATATTATGATATTTTGATGCACTATACTGTATTACATTGTATAATATGGTATTTAATTGTCTTATAGTATTACACTACAATTATGCATTTCTATTATATTTCACTACACTATATAACATTATATCATAATACACTATATTACATTGTGTCATGTTATATCATGTCATAGTATGTTTACGTTTATATCATATTTTATAATATATGATATGACATATGTATAATATATATATATATTGCAAAGACCATATCAACATATAGTGCCATAGAATCCAATGTTCTTTCTTTTCCATCAGGCCCCGTGGCCCAGGTAATTTGCAGGGAACCTACCAGAACTTCACGGACTTTCTCTTCGACCCCAACCGCGCTTGGGAAGCTTGGCCAGTACCTGTGGCGATGCCACAAGATCAGATGGTTAACATACCATACTATGACCAAGATGGAACAACTACTATGATTTAGTTGAATAATGATAAGAATGCATAGTCTATAGAAAATATAATGTAATGTGTAATATTTCAAACCACAATGCTTTCGTTGAATAAAACCGTCGTATATATATATGGTGATCGATCTAAAGGTCCTTGTAAGGAGTTTTAATTGCGAAAGCCGTGAATGTTATGTTGGAAACCCTCGCGAAAGTTTTTTTTTCGAGTTCGCGAAAGTAAAATTTTATTTCGCGAAAGTTTCGCGAAAGTTGGGTATTATAATCATTATATGAAAGGGCTGCCACCCACTGCCGCCCGGTGTCCGGCAGGAGAAGGGCACCAGAGAATGCGAGTAGCAGTAGCCAAGTTTCCAAAAGTGATGCTTTGCGAGAGCCAAACACCAAGGCCCCTGGTCTTCGTTTTTCCTTCAGTGCACCCCCTGCTGATGGCGGGGGTCTGTGAATAGGGATATTTTCGCGAAAGTTATGCGAAAGAGCGGGCGAAAGTCAAAGTGCATGTTGAAGGGGGTGGGCCAGTAAACTTTGCAAAAAAAATCTGTCCTGAGAAGGGATACCGTGATGCTAGCTGCATGTTTAAAAGGCTACCAAGAAGTGATCCGTGATTCTCTGGTGTAATTTGGCAGGTGGTGAACGAATCTTCATAAGAGGTGTTGTTGGCCAACATGGGCCCCGCGAAAGATAAACATGGAGTTTGCGAAAGTTTCGCGAAAGTAAAATTTTTATTCGCGAAGAATGGCCGTTCCGGGATAAAGGAATTTTGATCAACAACCATATATATATTATATATATCCCCCTGCCTGCCCCTCGTCCAGACTCGTCCATGGGCCAAGGACTTTAACACCGCTGATCCATGTGGCTACAAGTCGTACTATCGCAACAAAGGTCAGGGTCCATTCATGGCAGCTGGTGGTGAGCACCCAGAGCTGGTTGATTCAGTTGATCCAAAAGAGTTCATCGTGAGTTATGTCAGGTTCTTTGGATATGGTGAATTTAGGTGAATTCAAAAAACAATGATGGAATTATGATGGTACAACGGGCATTTTTTTGATTTTGATATGTTCATTGGGATATACCCGAGATAGCCTCTGGGAATTTCACTCCAAACTCCAGTGGCTTACTCCTTTTCCGATCATATGATGGGATTCCCATTTTTGGTCGTTGCAGGTCTTTCCAAAAAAGGTGCAGTCTCCATGATGTCGCCATCCAGGTATATCACCTGGTGGTCATTTTCCGTTATTTTCAATTCAAAAACTGGATGAACATTGGGGTACACCCAATTTCATCAAACCTCGGTTTCTAGGATTTACTCTCCACTCCTAGATTTTCTCGAAAAAACGAACACCTGACTTCTTGGGAGCTACGAACTTCTTGGGCTCACCGCAGGCAAGCTTGTCGCCACCTTTCTGCCACACACCATGCCACGTGGATCAAGTTGGGCTATCACTTGACTGGGTTTTTGGTCACAACATATGAGGATACTCATTGGAAGGATTTGGAATGTATATATATAATGATACAGTTGGTGAAGAAATAATCCGTATACTCCGTATACGGATGGGGGTTGATTCATGCTTGAACAAGCCATCAATTTTATCGGAGGTTGAATCATCAACTTAAATGGAGTCCAGGTAGAGGATGGGTTGCGAAGTCATGAGCTGGATGTTTATTTCATGGAAAATCCTACTGAAATTAGGATGATAAAAATGGGGATACCCCCATTTTTTTTTCAGGAAACCTCAGAAACCTCGTCTGGTTTTTTTCGTTGAAGGGAGATTTTTTTTAGGCAGCCCATAAAAGAATTGCAGGCAAAACGTTTTTTTTCCTGTAAATCTTTCCATAGATCAACCCATAGGGGGTCAAGCCTGCCAAGCTTGGGATATTAGTCCCCGACAGGCCCAAAATGTCCCAACAATGTCGCTGGTTGAAGCTGGTTGATGCAATGTCAAGGAAAAGTTGGGTATCACCTAATTTATTCCCTAGAAATTAACATGGACCCGGCCAAATAGGCGAGTTTCTACTAGAAAGTTGAAATTTTCAGGGTCTATGTTAAAAGGAAGATGCTAAATTCGCATTGCACGCTGAGGAACTGGAAGTTCTACTGGGAGCAGCGTGATGGTGATGGAGATCCAGTGATCATGCATTTCCATGGGCCCAAATGCGCCGCCCGGCGATCGTTGCGGCAACCGGGATCCTGTGTCGCTGTAGTTGAAAGAGTGTCTTCTTAACCACTTTGTGTTGTAAAAAAAAAATGGATGTAGCTTTCCAATCCATGGGGGTACACCCAAATCATCCAAGTCATTAGACTATTTAATGATTGAAACATATGGTGACTTGGGGATCCCCTTGTCTGGGACGATGATTGGCCGATTGGCCTTCAAAAACCAGCTGCACTTGGCCATTGGGCCTTAAGTGGCAAGGCTTGGGTTCAGAAAGGTGGTCCCACCCATTTCAGTCCTCAATTAAAGGCCATTTATTTTTCTCAAATCTCCCATATTCTTTTCAGGTACCCTCTGGTAAACTAACATAACTATGGAAAGATCCACCATTTTCAATAGGTCAATCCACTATTTCGATGGCCATTTTCAATAGCAAACTGTTAGTTTACCAGATTGATCTTAAATCTCCCATAATCTTTTCAGGTGGGAAATGGAAAAACCACACCAGCCAAAGCTTTCCGTTGTTTAGGACACGGACATTGTGCCCTTTGTCTTTGAAGGGGTGATTCGCTTCGATCAGTTCCGCAACATGTTGGAACACTGCAACACGGGCGGCAGATGCCAGAAGCTCTGCAAAGAGTACCAGGTGCAGCTGGGGATTTTCGATGCGCCATTTGAAAAGGTTCATTTCGTGTGCTTGGAACACCTGCAGCCATGCTACTGAACATATAATATATATATATACTTATATATATATGGGTAAATTATAACGACCTCACTGCGACCTCACTGGAAATCATGGCCTTAATTCAGGTTAGTGAAATATTATAATTTACCCATCCATATATACATTTGGGGAACCACATGGGGAGTATTTGTGATTATTTATGATTACGGGGATGAGATTCCACAAAGAGAAGGATCAAAAAATGGCACCTCTGCTTGGCGACTGGCGAGTCAGTGCACTGATCTTGCTCTTGGTAACTCTTTTGATGACTTTTTGCAAGGTGTTCACCAAGTCTTGCTTGTGACACTTGTGACGCTGTTTCCAGTACAAGTTTGAGTCCCCACCCACTTTTAGATAATTTTATATACTTTTAGTTTTTTTTTTGCGTAGAAGCCACCGTTTAATCAAGATTGATTGGTGAACATTTTAATTCAAACGTCAGGATCAGTGCTTTTGTTCAAATGTTTTAGTACAATAGCAGACAAACAAATTCACCAATAAATATGTTATAAGCGTGTTGAAAACACTGTCACTAGATTGAATACACCATGATGTTCGCATTAGTTTATCATAACTCGGTGCATGTTTAACCTTGACAGTCAACAGGGTCCGCATCTGCGCCACAGGGGCAGGTGAATGCTGCCTACAAGCAGCTTCGTAGCAGATGATGGAGAAACACGAGTGATGGCAAGTGAGTCGTGAGTGGAGAATGGGTCAAAGGTGGAGGACACTTACCTTCTGGTATCCTTCTGGTTATTTGAGACTTTGCTATGGAAATCACCATTTCTAAAAGGTAAATCTTCATGAAATCATCGATAAAATATACATGTTCAATAGAAAACTGTTAAATTACTAAAAATTTCCAGAGAGTACGAAGAAACGTCCCATTTGATCCTCAAATTAGCTCCTCAAAAAAAATAGGAAAACCAGCAGAGTTTTGAGAGTTGACCGACCCAACTGGCCGGTCCGTGGCCAAACCACAACCAGAAATCAAGAGTTTGGGTCCTAAGACGTCCTAAGTATTATATCTGAGGCTGATTGTTGAATGTGTGTGTATCTATGTATGTATACGTACATATACATTGTTGCAAAAACACAAATGATTGTGTTTGTCTTCCTCTGCTAAGTTCAGGAACTTTTATATATCCCAGTTGCTCGTTTCGTGATATATTGTAGTCCAAATCCATTTGTAGAATGCATTCACACAATGTTTTATCACATGGTGCAACCATATTAGTGAAATGATCTACTGAGATTCAACTGATTAAAAATCGAATATGCTTGAAACACCTTGGCCTTGGATGGTCATGCTACTCTCGCTGAACTAAATAGCTCCCATAAATCATGGGAACAGTGTGGCTTGCAGCCACATCCTGCTAACCGATCCATTGACCGCGCTTTTTCACAAAAAAGGTCGCGGTTCATGATGGCGTTTGCTGTTGTCTCCGGATGTTTTACTAACATGGCACTGGGTTCGCTCGGATTAGCCATATCTGACAAAAATGGGGGAATAAATGAGAAAGGGCGGGTCCCCGGGGAATATGTTGATTGTTAGGTTGTATTATATAGGTTGTTATTAAGTTATGTTTTTATTACATCTACGTATGTTCAACGTTTGTTCCTTGCCTTTGATATTCTCTATGTGTGTGTGGGGTTCTGGGGAAATCTTGTTGCTGGCTTTCGCTCCTTTGGTCTCATATGGTCTCATTTGACCAGGGTTCAGAGAATGGTTTGTGTCGATCTGCTAGTCCTACCTGCCCTCGTGTTGCACCGCATCTCTTCATCCATATTTTCTCTATTCTTTTGTTTGGACACCCAGAGGAGAGGTGTGGAGGTGAATTATCTTGGTCATGACAGCCCTGACAGCTCAGCCTCAAGATCTTTGGAACAGCTTGCAATGTGAAAGCTTTGTTTGCGACCGTTTGTTTGTGATCTCAAGAACAGGCTGATAGAACTCCCTCCACAGGCGTCTTCGGCAGTAAAGATGTTGAGGAAGGCAAATCTTGTGCCCTGGCATGTGCTTCGAGCCAAAAGCGCGCTTAGCACTGCAAGCATCCGAAGTTTCGTCAATGTGAACTTCCAATGGTCCGACCGCTTCTCTGTGGGGACTTCTTTGTTGCAGCAACCGGCTGTTGTGGATGCCAAGGACTGGAAGATGAAAGGTGAGCCTGGCTTCGATCGATGTTGTTTCCTCCAAGATCTCTTCCCCATGGCTTTGGACCCCGAAAAGCTGAAAGATCCCGAGGTTGTGCGTGTCCTCCAGCAGCTCTTCCCAGGTTGCCTCACTCCAGTCTCTTCACGTGAACCTGTCTCCATCATTGATATCAAATCTACTCCCTGGCAATTGATGAACATCTGGGAAAGGGGGAGCTACATGAAAAGGGTGATTGTGCATGCTCCCTACAACGGACCCGAGGCTAAATTGATGGAGACAACACTACGACACCAAATTACCACGAAATACCACCACAAACCTGGAAGCATCAGTGCAAATGAAGTGCTCAATATCCTGTATGATAACGATTTGTGGATTCGGCCGTACTCCATCAATCACGGAGTCTGCTCAGATGGGTACATCTTTTGGCTTCAAATTTTCACCGAAGAATCTGTGTTTAAGCTGGAAGAAGACGAGTTGATTCATCAGATTTGCGATCCTTCTGGTCGGCCATTCCAGACAAGTACGGGTGAAATTGTGCATCGTGTCCTGGATAACATTCGAGGGCGCAGACGTGCCCTACCACAGGATGAGATCAGGAGGTTGAAGTAGTTCCCTTTGAGCATGTTCTGAGACCTGCAAATCTGGATGGCTGGCTATGCTGAGACAGGAGTGTACAATGTAAACGCAGCTCTGTCGGCTTTGCTGCAGTGCGGGTGCCGTGTTTTTTTTTTACAGTACATCTTAGTGCACCCTCATGGTACGGAGTGGTGTGAAAGAGGTCAAGATTATTTGATTTATTCTGAGGTGCCAAAGTTGCTCTTGAATATCATAAAGCACCTCGAGCTGAGCCAAACAAAGGATATGCCGAATGTTCACAAGAACGGTGATTGTAGGGGATGTCTTGACACTTGAACGGTTTTAATTGATTGTCATCAAGAATCAAAACATGAGGATGAGCTCTGAACTTTCGCTGGTTCAACAGATACAGTAGCCAATTCCCAGGAAGTCCCCCAACTTTCCCATTTCAGAAAATGAGGAAATACTATTTCCAGGGGCAGGAAATCGCCCATGCCTCCATTTCGAGAAATCAGCATGTCGAGAAATCAGGAAACTTTGTTAAATCAGATGCAGAAGAGTTCGTTTCCCGAGGTTTGGAAACCACGATTCCTGATTTCCGGAAATCAGTAGTGAATGGTGCACCGTGATTTTGAATGTTGGCACCAGTCTCATGGGGTTTAGAAGACATCACTGCCTTTATCTGAAAAGCAAGGCCAATCTCAATGTCGGTCATTTCGTGTGAATGTGGGATAAGAAGGTTCAAACAAAGCCGCCAATGACCCTGCCAACCAGTCTTTATAAATCTTCACAACCTGACATTTGGAGTGATGGATTCAACATCTATTTTTGAGGGCAGGAACTTTCACAAAATCCCTGGCATTAGATCACAGATGTTCTTTCCAACACACTCAACCTGTATAATAAATATATATAAGCAAATATCTCCAATTCAAACAATCAGGACTATTTGGGGTGCAAGCAGCTAGCAAATCCTACAAACATGAATTGTAAAGAACAATGATTGAACATCAGCACAAAACCCATATGGCTATGGATAAATACCTATTAATACCATTTTTAGTGGGATGAACATCCATTTACCAGCTATTTTGGGGTTCACCAGGGGTACAAGGTTTTGACACACTGCCATATCAGGTAACATACCATAGCATACCGTGCGTCCCAGCATCTTCCTTTGGCTTTGGCCATTCCAAACCTAGGGCGACCACAAGTGATTTTTTTTCGATATTTCGGAGCCGCTGACAATATTTGAAGCCACCAGTGATGGACATGGATTGATTCCGCACGACTATGATTGAGGGAGTCTAATAGTTAATGTAACAGTTAATAATATTGTAACCATGTCCACAAATGATCCGTTATTGTAGGCATCGGAGGTATCTGTATAGAACTTCCCCGCTGTGCCTCATTGGCATTGCTCAACTGCAGCCATCTGGTGCCATGAGTCATCTCCAGGTTGCAAAGCCCTTGGCTCAACCACGGTTCAACCACATGTTTTCGGCAATGAAAGGGAGTTGGATCAAATGCGGATCAAACATGATGGACTCATGATTGACTCGCAGAGATCTGGAGGCCTATGACCAACAATTTCAAAGCTATCTGGCAATAACCGGCACTAAATCCGCTTTGTAGAGAGGCCCACCTTGAGTCTGCGACAGGAAAGACCATGAAAGACCCACTTTCCTCTCAACAGCTTTGAACAAAAAAGACCTGGGGAAGACAACAATCAATTTTGGTGACTCGAGCAAGTCTAAATATTTGTTGGCCCGGTCCAAAAGGTCTGGGTGAATTGTAGCGACCGCACAACGAGGTCACCCTAAGCTGGTTAATCGGGAGAATTCCAAGATAAGTCTGATCACACTATCTGGTCAGGTTGATTCCAACTACTGGTACCTATCTGGTCATCTTAAATGTTTATTTCTGAGAGAATTATGAGAATTGCAGTTTTTTTTTTTTCGCAGATAGGTAGTTGATACCAGTTGATACCAGTGGATGTCGTATGACGTGGAAGAGGATGAGGAAGATGAGTCTGAGGCGTGTAGATACACTTGGTGTATGGGTGCAATAGACTGGGATTTGAACGGCAAAGATGGTGGTGAATACGCCATGGGCCAGGTGGATGTTGATTTTACATGAGTTTAATGTGTGTAAAACAATGCCATTTTTACCACCCATGACTGGGAATGGTTTACACCACCTATAAAAATGGTGATGACTGGGGGATGGTTTGTGGCATTGCTTTACCCACATTACTTGATGATGAAGTGATCATCCTAGTGATGAATGCTTAACAGCTGATGGCAGCGATGATAACATGGCAGCGATGATAGGCTAGATGTAAATACCAGGAATCGAACGTGGTTTGTAACCTGAGTAATGTGGTAAAGCCAACCATAAACCTCCAATTTCAGAGGCTTTAGAAATTGCATCTATTTCTGGTCAATTCAGGATTGTTCAACAGGGGGAGTCCCGGAAGAGGCGATCATCTTTGTGAGGCCACAATAGCTAGCTGGCTTTATATATCTTTATATGGGTTCCAGCTGTGTGTTTATCATATCGATAGTTTTCGTCATTCTATCTATAATTTGAATTATGGAATTTGGTATTTTTTTGGGCTATAGATGACTAGTAGGGGGAATCAGACCCAAATGCCCTTATTTCAGACATTTTTAGGCTAGTGAATGATTCTAATTCGGCCAATTATTGATGCTCCAAGCTTGTATCACCCACACAAAACACTTGGCAGCAAAGGTCAATCGGACCCCCCTCCTCGACAAGAGTGAATTTCAAAAAAGTCATTGTCAGCAGGTTGGGCATGTGTCCATTCTTAACAACATCATGGTTATGTGAACTATTTACTCGTATCAACATTTACTCCAAGCATCCCCCAGTTATGTAGGTAAACAACATACATGGAGCATATATGAGCATATGGGATACTTATTGACCACCTTATATACAGTAATCAAATATGGCTTGCTGGAAAATCAATCTTTTAATTCAATGATTTTCAACACTTCAATGATGTAGTCATGGCCATGCTGACACCCCTGGAAGGTGCCACGCTTGTCCTTCGGCAACCGCTTGGCACTTTCCGGAGTGCTTTCCTCTGGGTTGCCTGGCTCCGTAGGGCCTAGTCATGTCATGGATGGTCCAAGTTTTAGATACACCAATATATATATATATACATATATATACATATATACATATATATATATATATACATACATATATATGTATATACATACATATATATATATATGGTACCACCCCCCCAAAACCCATATTTTCCTATAATTCACTAGTATTTACAGTGTTTTTCCTTGATTTTGCATATAAAAAAGATTAAAAAAGGTTCCTTTTTTTTTTGGATAGTAGCTATCATCAAACACTGATTCAACATACTTAAAAATACTAACAAAGAAACAAACATTCAGAAACTCTTTGGGGAGAGCCCCTTAGAGAAAATTCAACAAATATTTAACAAAAAACAATTGTGCTGAGAAAAAATAAACATTCAGAAACTCTTTGGGGAGGGCCCCTTAGAGAAAATTCAAACAAATATTGAAAAAAAAACAAAAAAAACAATATCGGGAGACTCTTTGGGGAGGGGCCTCATGGAGAAAATGAAAAAAACAAAAAAACATCGAAAAACCCCCCCAAAAAAAAACTATATTTGAGGACTCTTGGCTGGTCCCCCCTATCCACCAAGACCTCTGGAAAATTGTTTTTTTTGTTTTTTTTGAAGTTTTTTGGTTTTTCAAATCCCTGACAGCTGTTGTACATGCTTTTGTTTGCAGTTGCTGCTGCTATGTGTGCACTGCAGTTTGCCATTTATTGTCATGATCAAGCGGCGCGTTTGGTCAAGCCATTTGCTGCTCCGTGTCAGCTCCTCAATTGTCTGCGAATGATAGGCACCCCTGCTTCCTCACCTTTCCTCTGCAAACTTTCCGTTGTGGGCGTCACCCTTCTCAGGTGCACTTCTGTGACGATTATGGCAATGGAACGCGGCAACGCTGACCGCATGGAGGTGGACACTGGCGCCGCTATCCCAGAGGAGTATCTTGGCTGAAAAGAACAGGTCAGGCCATTGGCCCCAATCCTTCACCAGCACCTTGACTTAGGCCCGACCACACTGACAACGACAATGAGAGTGAGTGGGTAGACATCCCCGAAGGGGATGCTGCGCCACAAACTCCCGTGGCAATGTCGACGATGAGCGCCAGGTCCGGGTGCAATTCGAAAGGTCGAATGGAAACCATTGGCTGAGAAGTGGCTCAAAAACAAGCAGCTGGTCCTACACACAGATGCTGCCAAAAGCTATCGCATGAAGCTACCAGGCATCATCCATGACAATGTTGTGCACTGCAAAAAGAGAGTCAAGGTGAAGGGCGTTTGGAAATGGCAGCTTCCAAAGTATGTTCGTTTGGTGTCTCATTGTATCCCCGGCAGCAAGAAGAAGATGACCGTCAAGGCCGGCACCCAAGTCATCGACCGAGCCTGGCGATTCCTGAAGGATAGGATTGTTTTGAATGAGCACACCAAGGTAGGGACGGCGCGCCTGCGTGCCAAAGTGCGATCCGCCCAATATGAGTATTTTCATCGCAATGAAGATCTTTGGCTGTGCGCAGGGGAATTGTGCACATGGCAGATGAAAAAAAACTTCTTGCCAGCCAAATGACTACTACCATGCTCTGCGTCTGCCAACAGGGAGAAAAAGAAAGTTCCGGCAGTTCGATGTCTGTGTATTTGCTGCGCTTGGACATGCTTGGACTCTGTGATTTGCCTCTTTGTTTTGCGGTGCATTAGCTTGCCTTCCAGCAATAGATAGAACGCGTTTCATAAACTTCACATCCCAACAACAAGAACAACAAGAACAACAAGAACAACAAGAACAACAAGAACAACAAGAACAACAAGAACAACAAGAACAACAAGAACAGCAAGAACAACAAGAACAACAAGAAGAACAAGAAGAACAAGAACAACAAGAACAAGAACAACAAGAACAAGAACAACAAGAACAAGAACAACAAGAACAAGAACAACAAGAGCAAGAACAACAAGAACAAGAACAACAAGAACAACAAGAACAAGAACAACAAGAACAAGAACAACAAGAACAACAAGAACAACAAGAACAACAAGAACAACAAGAACAACAAGAACAACAACAACAACAGGACTCAACCTCTGCATCCTTTCCAGCCAAATGCTATTCAATGCCCTCTCCCATATCTCATAACCAAATGTAGAGAATGTCCAAGCACAGCTGTTCAGAAACTTCACATCTCAGCAACAACAACAGCAACAGGACTCAACCTCTGCATGATCATCCTTTCCAACCAAATGCTATTTCATGCCCTCTCCCATGTCTGACAACCAAACGTAGGGAATGTCCAAATGCTGCCTTCTGCTTCGCAAGGTGAAAAAAGTTCCACTTTTTTGCCTGCTGACCTCTGCAGTGATGCTTGATCTAAAACCAAAAGATATCAATCGATACCACTGTCAGTTGCCTCTCTCAGACTCATCCATTGTGGCCTTGCTCAGATATGAACTCTTGAAACAATATTTCCTGCCATGTGTAACAAAATATCCAATGATGTTTCATGTTGTCTTCTATCGTCACCAGGTTCATAGTTTCCTGGGACGTGCGGATTCTGGCACATACTCAAACTCATTCAGTTGTCCTTTGTCGTCACCAGGTTCATAGTTTCCTGGGACGTGCGGATCCTCGCACATACCCAATTTTGTTCATCATAAACTTCCAAACTTAAAGTGAAAGTGAAACTGCAACATGCATCTGCCTTCTGCTTTGAAGACTTGCATGCACATCCTCAATGCTCCTGCATGCAACATTCAAAAAATACATCTGCCTTCTGCTTTGAAGACTTGCATGCACATTCTCAAGGCTGCTTTAAACAACCTTCCGAAAACAATGCAAAACATGGGTTTTGGGGGGGGGTAGCATATATATATATATATTATCTATTGTTAAATGTACAATATATTGTTGATATTGTTGCGATTACGTAGCATTATGATTATTCGTTACAGACATCGGACTCAATCTTCATCTTGTGTCTTCACCCATGCCATCCGCCACACCAGCCACACCACTGAGAGTCCAATCTGCGCATCATGAGGTATCGAAAACTTGGGATGCTCATCGAGCACTTGGAAACCCGAACTTGGGAGATGCAGGTGCCAGCTGCCACCGTAAAACGCGTGGCTGTGTGTCTTTCCAGGTGATATCTGCTTGTTGATTTACACAGATATATTTATTTGTTCCACAGACACATAAATATATGTTCACAAATAAAATATATAGATAGATATAGATAGATAAATTACATGGTGAATATCTGATATGTTGCACAGACATTTGTCTGACATATTGGTCGACACTTACCGACCTGTCTACTGACATGTGTACTGACATTTAGTCATACATATAGGGGTCTCCATAAATGGGGGTACCCCCAAATGGATGGTTTATTTCATGGAAAATACCATTCAAGTGGATGAGAACTGGGGATACTCTAGCCCTATGACTCAGGAAAACTCCAGAAATTGACATTTTCATCGTCCTAATCATGAACAGAGAGGTCCTCAGATTCGCACATGCAGATCAACCACTCTGATACATTCACTGATGCATTCATTTGGTGGTGCCTACTCCCAAATGCGCAGCATATTGATTGGTAAATTGACTTCTATGTAGTGGACATATGCACGGATGTATACACAATTACCTATGTGATCTAATTACTCATCTGCTGTGGTGTTCAAAGAAGGAACTGTAGTTGCTTGTGCGTGTAATTTGGGTTGTAAAAAGTGAAGAGGATGACAACCTGAAGAGAGAATGAGCAGAGGAAGAGCAGGTGAAAACAGTGACCCATCAGACATGTTAAGACATGTTCAGACACGTTAAGACGTGGAGCCTCATCTCCAGGGAACAGCATGGATGACTCGGTTTCAAAGTAGGTTGTATGATATCCTCTTGACATGTCGACAACTCATGGCAACTCAGGATGCAACAGTGCAACAGGCTCGCAGATCACCCTACTTGTACCTTCTTGCGTGAAGTCTTGACAAGGGTGCAAAGATTTAGTGCCATTAAGTCGCCCCTGATATCCCCTGATATTAGATAATACCATTAAACCCCGCCCGCGGTTTTGTTCTGGCCCTATGAAAATTTCAGGGGTCCATGAATGGGTTGTGTTGGTGACATTAGGGGTATCAGATTGATAGACTTCAGTGTGATTTGTTATATCCTTATTATATTTTACTCAGAACATTTGACTGTTTATATCCATTGAAGTTTTTGAAGTTTTTGAAGCTTGTTGTGTGGTTTGTTATATACATATTACCCTCCTGTAAACTGACAGTTCGATGTGGAAAACCCACCAACTTGTAGATTGTTTTCCTGGGGAAACCATGGGTTTACCCGTGCCAACGCAGATCATGGGCGGTGATCAACGCATCACAGCCGATTGGGTGCTGAAGGACGGGTTTTCTCTTTCGAAAACGTGCAGGATGGGGTTCCCAAAACAAGGTGCCCCGAAGGGGTGAGTGTTTTTTGGTAATTTATAGATTTAGCCTATTATGTATTAGAACATAGCGATTCAATAGGATTTCATGATAGTTAATGGGATATCATGGGACTTAATGGGATATACCCTCTGATTATTTAACGGTTTGCTATGGAAAATCTCCAGCAAACTAATAGGTAAAGCATAATTGCTTATCATCTATTTCTACCGGCCATTTTCCATATCTATGTTAGACAAGCAGGGTATGTATATATAAGGTATATATGTATAAGGTGGTGCCTCCAGATCTATCTCCTGGTATGTTGATAGGATGTACAACACAACTTATAAATTGGTTTGATTTATAAATCCCATTAGCTATAAACTATACCAAAAACCCTGAACGAACTTAGCTATTCAGAGGGCAGCACCTTGCATTTGTATGGATGACTGTGTGTGTTCAAACATAATCGAACATAGACATAACAATAGCTCAATGTATTTATTTTAAACCTATCGTAAACATATACTTATAACATGTTATCTGGAATATATACATGATTTTGTGGAGATATGGGAAGGGCTTAATTTTGGGTGCCCTTATACAGAATTGGATCCGAATGATGCACGCAGAAAGAGACTAACATGTGATAAACCACTGAAAATCCTGCCATTGAAGGTGACTTAATATAACGATGAATTTCAACCTGGAATGTGCTGTGGAACAGATGTTTCTGCATCTCGGTTCCCATCCTGATTTTTCTTTGATCAAATTACAGCACCCGACAGAATTATGGAAAAAAAAACGTTTCAATTTACAGGCGCCGCCTGTCTATGATAGAAAAGTTACGAACCTTTTTTTTTCCATAATTATTGTTTCCATATTTTTTCCATAATTCTGTCGGTGACTGTATGTCCATCGATTCGCAATTTGAATGCATTTTAAGGGGGAATATTGAATTATAGAAAATATGTGTCTAAAGATCTGGTATATGCCCCTAAGTTTTCCATTGATATACATAATATCATGTGATGTTCGCAATTTGAATGCATTTTAAGGGGGAATATTGAATTATAGAAAATATGTGTCTAAAGATCTGGTATATGCCCCTAAAGCCTGCCATTGATATACATAATATTATGTATACGGGTATGTACATGTAAACCCCATTTCACCATTCGCTTCCATAACCCAAAAAAAAACGGGTTTGAATTGTGGATCCATGACATGTCCAACAGGTGGAGCCCCAAACATTAATTATGGAAAAAATAATTATGGAAAAACCGGTCAATCTGCCCTAGCCCCCTGATTTCACAGGAAAAGTCAATTATGGAAATAATGGCCACCTCCAAGAATTATGGAAAAAAAAAAGGTTCGGATCACTTCCGGGATATTTTGAACCCTTATGGGGAAAAATCCAATTATGGAAAAATCGGACGCAGGCGCCGCCTGTCTAAGTTGAACATTTTTTTTTCCATAATTCTGTCGCTTACCATAGATGAATTATAGATTCCCATAGAAATGAGACAAAATCAGGATGGGTATGTCCTTATAAGGGAACACATATCCTAAAGATTAGGAACTTCCCTTTTCCTGCGCAAACATTTCACATAGTCGCGCCGCCCAGATCCCAGGAGATTGACCGATTCGCCCAGGGCCTGGGCAAATGGCTGAAGGTCTCGCAGGGTGTTTCTCGGGGGTTTGTTGGGGTCCCATCTCAGTGGTCTGTATCTGCACACATTTGGCGCAGTTCAGGCAGAAAGTATCCGGTTCCATGGCTAAAATATCATGAAATCATATGGGTTTGTCTGAAAATAGGCTACCCCCATCGATTTTGGTTTATCATCATCCCAATTGAAATGCTTCTTTGGGGATATAGCCCATGTTCAGACAACTCCATTTTCTTAACTAGTTATTTTTGATGAAGTGAATCATCTATCATTGCGGGTGCTGTGCATTTCCCTTTAGATTACCCGAAGGTACACCGTAGGATCTGGGTGTACCACAGCAACTGTCATCAGTTTTCACAAACAATCAGCTGGGGTGGTTTGGAAGATAATGTTGCTCTTGGACATGTGTATTTTGTACAGTACATATGTTAAGGACTTGTTGAATCTTTCAAAAGTGTAGTGTTTGGATGGACAGGGTACAAGCTACTTCAATCTACTTCATCAACCCTCCGGAAATCATATAAAGAGAGAGAGAGAGAGATATATATATATATAAACGTCCATTTCTAGGGGATTTTACCATATTTTCCCAGGTTTTTCCCATATTTTCCCCGGGTTTTCCCATCCAAAAACGGTGGAAAAAACGCCGCGTTCATCCGCAGGTGGCCGGGGATGACAAAGCTGAAATCCTGCAGCACAGTATCGGCAGTCGGCCCTTGACCGAGCCGCTGGGCTCATCCCCATTGAAGATGAATAGTTGATGGGATGAGTATTATCTGGATGGTGGTTTGGAACATTTTTTATTTTTCCATATATTGGGAATGTCATCATTCCAACTGACTAATATTTTTCAGACGGGTTGAAACCACCAACCAGTTATAGAAATGGTAGATTATATAACTATAGTCAATAGCTATTAGTATTAAATATTGACTATTAGTAGATTATTAAATGAAGTAGAATATCTATTAGTATATAGTTGATTATAGTAGAAATATTACGACCCCTATACCACCACTGTATATACTAGTATTAGTTCACTCCTGACTGTAGCTATGAGTCCAACCACCAAAGTAGTTGTACAGTTATTTCAATGTTCATATCCCCATAACTAGAAGCGTTAGTTAATGGGGTAGTAGCCACGTAGCGAGGTAGGATTAATTAATGTCTACCGACTGCATGGCTCAAGTGCATAGCGTAAAAGGGTTTGCACTTGTTGATCTATGGGACAAGGGAGATTAACTTGTGGTTTTGTGTTTTTCCCCTTGTTTCTCTGGTTATCAGCCGTATTGGCTTAGTGTTCTTTTGCTGGGAAAGTCTTAATCTCCCTTGTCGGTAACTTAGGCCCCACGCAACCTCGCTCACTGCCTTTCACTTTTCGCTGATTTCCTGTTTCACCTTGTATGGTGCCAGAGGGTCTGTCGGAAGGGGCTGCTTTGAGCGCCCCCGAACCGGTTGCTGACGGGAACCCGGAAGCAGAGGCGGAAGCTGCTGAAAGCGCTGAAGTCACTGTTGAAGGTAGTACTGGATTTAACTGGGCAGACGCCTCTGAAGACCCGCCCGTGCCGACAGCTGGTTTTCAAGTGGGAGGGGCTGCATCTAGCGCCCTAGAGGACGACGCCGACGAGGACTTTGACATCTTGAAGTTTGACGCACTTTCCCTTTTGGATCCGAAGCCGGAGGAAGTAGTCACTACTGAACAGTTGTTTGAAGCACTTGAGGCCGACCTCGATCCCACCGCCGAGCCAGCCGAACAGCTTGAGGCATCCGATCAAATCGAAGCAGAAAATAATCTCGAAGGTGATAACCCCGAAAATCTAATTCCAAAAGAAGAAACTGATTTTTCTAATAACCCTGATCAGGAAACTAGTGCTGAGGTTGCAGACTCCGCCGCAGATCCGATTGTAGGGAGCTCTCCATCCGTAGTTGAGCCAGACCCTAATTCGACATTTGCTCCGGTATACGTCCAACATCTTGGAGGGACAGCGGAAGAGGACGAAGTCCCACCGCCCCCAACATCACCGTTTCTTGAGCAGGAAGGGGCTGCCGCAGGCGCCTCAACAACTGGGCACGTCCAAACAGGCCATTCTCCTGCAGGACCGTCCAGAGGTCCCCGTGTACGTGGAACCAAAGGCGGGAAGAAAGCCCAGACCAAGCGGCTCATCCAGCGTTGGCAATCCGACTTTGATAAACTAGCTAACTTTCTTTGGGACGAGGCAGAATTCTGGCTCAGGTACGTCCACCACTCAGAAGCATCCGCTGAACTGATCTGGACTGTCCGTGTCTTTAGGGTCCTCTACAATCATTGTACGCTAAACCAAATCTTAGTCCATCTTGCTAATACCTTTGCTCCTTATAGAAATTGGGTTTTTACCAACGGATATCGAAGTGGTGAATTGCATCTTGCTCCAGATACTGCTGCAAACACTGTGCTACCTGATAGGGATCACATCAACTTGCAGGCTTTTGGGGATCCAGATCCACCTAGATCCGTTTGGGACGACTACGATACCTATAGGGGTCCACAACCAAAAGGTAAGGCAAAAGCCAAAGCTAGTGTGTTTACCCAAAATACTGAACTACCATCTGGATCCGAGCAAGCTACAGCATTAGGTGTTGACCCAACATTAGATAGGGGTGTTAGTTCTTCTGAAGAAACCCACACACCATCACCAAGGGGTCCACCCAAAGCTAAAGCCAGGCCTAAGCCAGCGTCAGAGCCCAAGGAGCCTAATCACCCACCGCCGTGGGTGCCATCCCTTCGACCTGCAGGCCATCAACCCGCTCCGAAAGTTTCAGAATCCGTAGCCAGTGTTCCGCCGCCACGTGCCACGGGAGGGGCTGCTGAAAAGCGCCCCAGACCTGAAAAGGCTGAGCAAGCATCCGATCCAAAAGCATCCGGCGAAGCATCCGTGCCAGAACCGGCCAAGCCTAAAGTATCGGACCCCAAAGTTGCTAAGCCTCCCAAGAATAATCCTTTAAGTAGATTAGGATCACCACCAAGTTATCCAGCACCTCCGGTGCCACCACATCGAGATTTCCACCAGACTTTAGGACCCCCTCCGCAGCGGCCGCCAAGAGCTGCAACGCCAAGAGGAGAGAGGGCTGCAACAGCGATCCCTCCGCCACCATCTCACCCACCGCCATCGGCGGCTGATTTGGATAAGGCAGAGCGTGGGAGACCACGTGAGAGAGCTGGCACACCCCCTGCCCGAAAAGTTAAAGGTGGTAACATCGATAAAACCCCAGCCGCATCAGCACCCGCTGCACCTAAGACAGTGAGCCGCTCCAGATCACGGGTTCCAGCCACTCTCACCCCGAGAGCTGACGGTTCTTTTGCAGATCAGGACACTGAGGTGTTGCGCCGCGCAAGGGGTGGTAACTTGGGTACCCCTAGTCTTAGTTCCCGACCAATAGCCCTAAGACCCGCTGATAGTAATTATCCCCCTGTGATAATAAACTCTGAGGGCACTTGGATGCGTATCTCAAAGCCGCCTGGCTCTGTTGGAAGGGAACCCACAACTGTTCCTGTTGCCATTCCTGGCACTGCTACATCATCCGTTGACCCCCACGAACTTGCTGACGAAGTTTGGCGTGATCCGTCATTGGTTGGTAGCAACACTGCATTGGTATCCTCCCATAATACCCAGGTAATCCCGATCTCTGAACCTGAGGGTCTAGTTGCTGTAGACTCAGAACTTGTTGACGGGGTTGAAGAAGAAGAAACTACAGTTCCTCCACCAAAAAGAAGGGCTATTGTTACAACAACTTCTTCTGGGCGTAGGCAGGTTTATCAATCTCGACGTAGATCAATTCCTCAACCCGAACCAACATCAACTGCTGCTGCGCCAGGTGGGCCTCCATCTGAGCCCGAGGCACCGGACGAGGACCCAGATCCCTCTGATCCAGGTGAACCAGAAGGCGAAGAGGAAGAGGATCACTCATCTGACCCTCCTGAAGCCCCGCCCGAGGGTGAGGAGGAAGTTGAGGTTGAAGTAGAAGTTGAGGAAGAGGCTGCTCCATTAGCGCCTCAAGAACCCAGCACTCCATCGCAGGCATCGCCGAAAGCTCCAACTACTAGAGGTAGTGTTAGTAGGTTTTTGTCACCCAGTGCAAAAGGTGCTGAACGTTCTAGATCTCGTCACAGGGACACAACAGCTGAGGAAGAGGCTCCAGTTGCCGTAACAACTTCTTCAACAAGAGTTTCAGGTACAATCCAAACCCAAATCTTTCGAGACGGCACCAAAGCCGAGGTTTTTGTCCCTGATATCCCAAGACCTAAGACTCCTCCAAAATCTATAGGCTCACCACCACCAAGATCGTCATCACAGCCAGCTAGTGTTAAGCCGCCTCCACCCGGAGTTAGTTCAGCAAGTAGGTCTACGTCAGTCCCACCTTGGCGGGAAGGGGCTGCACGTGCGCCCCAAGCAGGAGGCCCTCCAGTTAAAAAGAAATATAAGGCTCCTCCTAGACCTCCCTACAACTACTCCGTAACTGTTGGCCAAGCTTACGAGCCAGGTGTAGACCCCGATCCTCCAGAGCCCACAGAGGAGGAACTTAACGCAGCTTGGGCCCGCTCCAAGGAGCATCAAGACAGGGCTTGGGAGCGCCACGTGGAGTCGCTCGCAGATCGCAAGCATCGCCAAGCACTTGAAGCCTATCAATAGGAGGAAAAACAGAAGAGGAAGCACAATAAGGTGAAGCCACCTCCAAAGCAGCCTCCCATTGTTGTTCCACCTAGGCCTGAAAGACCTGTCCCAAAAGCCCATAAATCTGCGTCCCCAAAACCTAGTCCACCTCCGACACCAGTGTCGACACCACCAACACCACCTCCGCGACCACCTAAGGCGACTTCTACATCAACAGCATCTGTTCCTACTAGCGGTAAGGCAGGTGCTGCGATTCGCGCGCCAGGGGGTAGATTAGATTTAGGCCCCATAATCCGAGCTCGTCAAGAGCGAAGTGTAGGTGGCAATAATCTAGTCGTGTTCTTCGATTGGCACGACACCCTCGACTGTGCTAGAAACGCCCTTCGTGTATTTGATCGTTCTATTGTGGATAAATTCGTGAACCTAGTGCAGCTCGCACAGGGCAGAATCGAGTTCCACATCGTTTCCTTCAGCGGCGTCGCCCGCGGTCGGCAGACGGAAGAGGACGCAAATAATCTTGCGGAGTTCTGTAGATCACAGGGCCTTCCATTTCGCACCGTAACGGTGGTTAACGATCCAGTAGGTCCTGGTGGTAAGACACCCGTCCTCACATCCAGCGGCGCAAACATACATCTTGACGATCGCCAAGACGTTTGCGACGAAGCTGCACGCGCCAACATCTTTACGATTTGTGTATACAAGTCCAGCACATTGAGTTGGTGGCCTCAATTGGAAAGTGCAGTCCGGGACAAAGGGGTGGACTACTTTTTGCGCAATCACGCACCGGTGCCTTTGAGGGGAGACCAATTCTCTCGCCGTAGGAATTAGCTTTCTTGTGGCTGGAACTTCATGGGCATCCAAAATAGGCATCACCGGCGATTTGGTAGGGGCTTGAGCGTAAAATCCAAAACCAAATAAATAGCTCGCCCTTGTACAGTTTTGCCTGTCATTGTCTTTTCGTTTCGCCTGAGGTTGTGCCATCTGCACACCCAGTACCGCGTCTCTTTCGGCACAGCCGTGCCCTTTGGTCGTCCGTGTCTTGTCTTGTTGTTTCACTGGGAGGTGCTTGAGCATC